CTGCCTGGCCCTCGCCGACGGCGGGGACCTGCTCGCCGCGGCGGACGACTCCGGGGCCGTCAAGGTCGTGGATCTGGAGAGCGAGAAAGTCGTCCGTTCCCTGAGGCACGCCAACATCTGCTCCTCCGTCGCCTTTCGGCCACGGAGGCCGCAGAGCCTCGTCTCGTGCGGACTGGACATGCAGGTGACTTTGTACCGGGGGCGGGTGACGGCGGGCTGTCCGCGTCTCCACCCGGAGCCGGGGCGCGGGGCCTTCCTGCGGCGCGGTGCCGTGTTGCGCCTCGGGCTTCGCTCGTAGACGCGGTGTGGATGTGGTTGGCACGGGGGAATCGAGGGACGGCAGAGAGCAGCTGTGCCTCCGTCGGTTCTGTCCTACCGTGTGAAACCAGCGGTTATCTCGAGCGGGTGGCTGCAGGCAGAGCGCTGCCGTAGTGCCCAAGGCAGAGCGGATGGCAGCCGGAGTGCTTAATGCAGAGTCTGAACTACCTGGCTGGTCTGAGGATGTCATTAAGTTTATCCCCTGCTTGAAGTAACCTCTTGGAACGTTCTTTGCCTTTTACACTTCTTCTCTGCCTTATCAGGTGGAACTTTTGTCCTCTGCGTGCCACACAGAATCACAGAACATCCCAAGTTAGAAGGGACCCACAAGGATGACTGAGGCCAACCCGCGGCCCCACGCAGCACCACCCAAACCCGATGTCTCACAGCGGTGTCCCAGCACTCCCTGAGCTCTGGCACCAGGGCCGTGCCCGCTGGAGCTGTGCCGTGCCCACCGCCCCGTGCTGCACAACCTCTCCCTGCCCCCAGCCGCCCCTCCCCAACGCAGCTCCACGCCGTTCCCTCAGCGCACAGCTCGGCGCTGCCCATCCGCTCCCCGTGAGGAGCTGCAGCCGCCACGAGGGGAGCTCCGCTCGGCTCCTGTGCTCTGGGCTGAACCCACCCCAGGACTTCCTTTCCAGTGGTTGAGGTCTGACCACGTTCCTGTTTTAGCCTGAGATGAAAACTGTCACTTCTACAGAGCTCTCTGTGGTTCTGGTGGTGTTAGGGGAACTTTCCTTTGACAGCATCACGCAGTTTTGCTGTGTTCTTAAAAACTGTTTTTTCTATTTTAAAGCCACCGTTTGTCAAAACTCTGGAAGTCTATTTATTCAAGTTAAGGTTGATCGCTGGAAGTTTCCCAAGTTCTGACTTTGCCAGGTTTTAAACAATTCTCTGCATTTGTCCACCATTGAGATAGGATTTTGAATAGAGTGCTTTGAGAAGCTTCATCTCAGAGGAACTGAAGTGCGGCAGTAAATGCTCAGCACCTTACACAGGTTGCTTAAATTCAGATCCCTAAAATGGCTGGAAAGCTTTTATCAGAACTGTAACCATTAATATACTATTTCTGTGTGAGAAAGACAACAGCAACAGCTGATGAGAACTGAAATTTTGGTAGCTAGTGTTATTTCCAAAAGGGCCGTGGAAGCAGGGAAAATGCCACGAGGGCAGAACATACTTGCTTTGCAGAACGCTTGTCACCACTTGTTGAATTCACGAAGCTGATGCTGTCCATGATGAGAATGGAGTTTTTGGCTTACGTGTTAAGATTGGCTGCTCTGATGTACTCTGCTTTGCACAGTCATCACAGAAAAGTTCTCCCCGTCCTTGGTAGCAAAGCAGTTGTAATGCAGCAGCAGCGGTGACTCGTAGAAGAGAAAAGCAGTAGGAAATAATACATGGATTCTGATAAGCAAACAGCTTATCAGTACTGCAGGAGACCGAGTGCTTTGAGATCTGCTGGCCTTGAAAAAAAGTCTTAATTCATACTGTAAAAGTATTCATATACTGTAAAATAAAGTATTATTTTGACGGGTGCAGTATAAATCAGCAGCACTTGAATTGTTCTGTGGTAGAAGCAGGATTCATGTGAAGGCACAGTGAGCAGCTTGCAGGTGCCATGGCATTCCAAAAGCAAGTCTCAAACTGCTTCCATCTCATCACAGAATCACAGAACTGTAGGGGTTGGAAGGGACCTCCAGAGATCATAGAGTCCAACCCCCTGCCAAAGCAGGTTCCCTACAGCAGGTCGCACAGGAAGGCATCCAGGCAGGTCTTGAACATCTCCAGAGAAGGAGACTCCACCACCTCCCTGGGCAGCCTGTTCCAGTGCTCCGTCACCTCACTGTAAAGAAGTTCTTGTGCACATTGGTGCAGAACTTCCTATGCTGCAGTTTCCGGCCGTTTCCCCTTGTCCTGTCTGCTGAAAAGAGTCCGGCCTCACCATTCTGCCCCCCACACCTCAGATATTTATAGACCTGGATCAGGTCCCCTCTCAGTCTTCTTTTCTCAAGGCCAAACAGACCCAGTTCACTCAGCCTTTCTTCATAGCAGAGATGCTCCAGGCCCCTCACCATCTTTGTGGCCCTCCGCTGGACTCTTTCCAAGGGATCCCTGTCAAACAGAAGAAAGGAAGAGTGTGCTCTATCTTCATGTGCTAACAGGACAAGCCAGATCTAATGCAATATAAAAAGTGCATAGATATGTATATGATTAAAATTCAGGGACTGAACTACTGTTACCTTTTGCTATTCTGTTTCTCAAACACATTAAAGGAAGTGATTATCTTAGAAAAATTATGTAGCAGAAACAGAACTGACATTCAGAATGATGAAGCTTTCTTTTCAGTTGCTGCTAACGTTTCCTTGTCCTTCCTTTTAAATAATTAAGATGAGCAGTATATCATGATTACTGCTGCTGAGATGAATGGAAAAGCATTTAGAACAGCTTTCCCATCCATTTTATGCTCTAGGGTTCTGAGCCATTGACTCTGCTGGGAGGGGCACAGTCATGGCTTGGAAAGCATGTGGTAAAGATTTGCTGTGTTTGTTAGGTGAACTTCAAATGTGTCTTGCACAACAGATCTTGCATCTCTTATGCTCACCCGTGGCCCCTGCTCTGCCTGAGCAAAAACCTTTATCTTATTTTTGTTAGCAAAAGGAACCAATTCTACTTAACAATCAGATGCTACAGTTGGTGTTCTTTGAAGTAAAATGGATAAATGATTGATTCCTTTGATCTTTTCCAAGGTTATGCTGTGGAACCTGCAGAAAGCTCGCCCCCTGTGGACCGTGAACTTGCAGGAGTGTGGAACAGAGGAAGACAGGCTGCAGTCAGCCAGCCAGCTCTTTAACCCCCCACTTGCACATTCCCTGTCTGTCGCATCGTGCGGCAACATCTTTGGCTGCGGAGCTCAAGATGGTAAAGTCAGAATATTCCGAGTGACTGGTCTCAAATTTGAACGTGAGCTGGAGTTTAAAGGTCATAGTTTAGGAGTATCACAAGTCGTCTTCATGCCGGAATCATACTGGTTGTTGACTGGGGGAAACGATGGGAAAGTCTTGCTCTGGGATGTCAGTAATGACATTGGAAAGCAGCAGAAAAGTCCAGCAAAGTCGCTCCATAAAAGGAAGGGCCAAGCAGCTGCCACTGCCAGAAAAGATGGAAAGCTCAACAAAGTGGCTTCAAATGAACACGCTAGAATTTTACCAAAGCTAACCATTGAGCATGGAGAGAAGGTGAACTGGATCACGTGCACAGAGATCAAAGGCTCCAGGAGAGTATTAGTTGCTGATCAGAGTAGTTCTATATCTGTTTATCCGTTGCCAGAGTCTTAGGTGCTGAAACAAATTTGTGGGGAAGAATCATTTCTCCACATTGGAAATATGATTCCAATTAAATCTGTTGGCAGTGAGCTGAACAATGAGGCCTCCTGCATTCTCAGAAATGGCAAGGGATTCGCTGTGTTCTCACACAGATCTCATGATGCCATTGGCCTGGTGTGACATTTTTACAGCTGGTAGTGCTCACTGCAGCTGTTTCTTGTAGGCTGGCAATTAGTTCATAACTGTCCTGACGTAACTGAAGTTGCAGGAATAAAATTAACAGGGAATTCCTCTGTGCTTAATGAGGATGCTGACCAGTAATAGAGATGTAACTGAGTTCCTTCAGTTTCACACAATTTCAGTGCTTTATTTTACTTTCCCTATTCAACTGTCCCACAGTTAGCTTGAGCTGGGTTTCTTGGAAGTATGGTTTTCATTATTTTGCATATAAGACTAGAGAAGCCTTAACTTACTAGCAAGCAGTCAGATTACTACTCATTGTCAACTGGATTTTTTTCACGCTGCAGTAATAAAGAAGATGGGGAAAATGTTAGCATCTGCCTAATGGGTCAGCTGTCGTCTGCACTTAGCTGTTTTTCCCAGAGAGAAAAATTACAGCTACATTTGTCTTAATAAAATGCTTTCTCTCACTGCTCCTGTGTGTTTATATTCATTCTAATACTGGCTAACATAGGTGCTGTGCAAGATTTTGTCAAGAAGTGTTCCCATGGAATGGACAAATAAGAAGAAAAAATAGAAAAAGGAATACTTTTTTGTTTCTTTTTCTTCATGTTGTCCTGAAGTTTTCACAGGTGAAGACTCAAAGCCTTCTGCTGGCCACAGGCCTGCTTGAGTGATCTGGATTCTGTGCTGTCTTGTTACATTGGCTGTGGTGTTGGCAGGTGCACGTTACTTGCCTTCGCTTTTTCTTTTTATTGGGAACAAAATGTAGAGTTGTTTGTTTGTTTGTTTTTTGCATAGGCAACTCTTGCAAATATTTGCATCCTTTATGGATGAGATGTCAGTGGTGTGTTTCACTGTTCTTTGCCCTCAGAAGCAGTTCCCTGCAGCCATGTACAAGTCATTCAAATCCAGCTTTTCATCAACACTAGAAAACAACCCAACAACAATCTGTACAGCCTTTAAAAGCAGGAGACTTTGGCCCAGGAGAAGAGCTTGAAGGCAGTACAGATAAATAAACCTGAACAGCAAACAAGCAGACTAGATTTCCCCTCTCATTATTCCCTGTATGTCTAAGGACAGACAAGACGAGTGCGTCAGGAGCAGAGGTCCAGTTGTGTAACGTGATGTGTAGTACAAGGAGCATGTGTGTGTGCATCTGTGAGCTATATTTGGATGTACAGTCTATTAAAAGCCCGCTGCAATCACCCTCCAGCAGGAGTCAGAGCCCCCATCCGTGGTGTTGACTGCCTCAGGAGGACTGGAGCCCACCCTGCTTGACTTCCTTTCTCCGGGACGATGGCTAAAGACAGCATATCCCTGCGCTCCTTGAGCAAGACATTAAACAGGTCGTTAAAGGGTTGTGCTGATATGGCAGGGGATAAGTGGCAGGACTGGGGCAGGGGGAGAGAAGACAAGATTGTGCTGTGGTCTGTTATTGAGATAACCTGTACTTTGGAAATTTTCACAGGTAATAGGATGTAAATAAATACAGTGTGTCTGTGGGAAGAGGGTAATTCATGAACAATCCTCTGATTCTCCTTTATTTGTTGGAGAGGGAGGGGGCAGAACAAAGGCTGCAGCACTTCATGAACGCCATCCTTGCCAGCTTCAAGCTGCTGGTCCTGGCAGCTTGCTGCAGGATTCTGTGCAAGTGCTTGATCAGCAAAGCCTGGTAGCTGCACGAAGTGCTGCCAGGAGCAAGTCGGTAACAGGAAATTCTGGTTTGTGCTCTGCTGTAATTCTGCTGTAAATTGGAATGAACTTCCAAATTTGGGAACATACATCAGCACTTATAGGGTTCAAAGATAGGAAGCAAGTGGTCATAGTTGACAAAAAGCAAGACAAACCCTTCTATATTTTAAGAAAGAAAATAACTGTGGCTAAGGAATTGGGACGTAGTTAATGCCGAGTCACCTTCCATTTCCAAAGCCTGTACATGAAGAGGCTTGCAAAAAAGCTTTCATCGACAGGTTCATTGGCTTCAATTAAAGTAGTCTGGCACCTGCTTCCCCTGCTGGCTCCTGTCCACGTGTTCCACTGCATGTGACAGCACCATCACAGCTCGATGGTGCCTGATCATCCAGGTGGGCAACAGCAGCAGCACCAAACGAGAGCCACAGCCACTGCTTGTCAGGAAGGGAAGAGTGGAAAAGGGGTCTGAAACCCACAGAGTTAAAAGACAAAGTAAGACGGTGCTCCCTTTCAGTGGATTTTCATGTATGTGTTTCCACACGCACTATCTGTGCTGTGCAAGTGGTATCAGCCAAGAAACTGCTTAGGTGCACATGTAGAACTGGTTTACAGGTAGTAAGAATTCGTGGTGTCCTGCATGAGTATCCCTGCTGCTGAAATGCAGTACTTCTGCTCATGAAATAATGCTTCAGATCTTGATACTTGCTTTTATATTCCAATTACAAAAATACTTCAAAGATCAGCCCTCTGCTGCAACAGCAGTATTGCTGTAGCAGAGATAATCTCTTCTCCACATGTGAAAATCACCATCAGACAACAAAAACTCCACCAGCTCTGTGTTGCAGGTTCCTAGTGTTATCCCATACCAACCACACTATGCCAGGGAGAAACTAAATGTATGTATGATGGGAGCAGCTGATATTCTCATAAATCACTACTAAAGTACAATGTGCCCCCTGATTTGTTCCATATCCAGGAAGGAGTTTTGGATGATGGATATTTCCATAGCTTTGAGGTTCCCAGGATTCGGAAGAACAGACATTGACATAACAGTAGTGAAGAGGCAAACTTAACATTATCTTTACAAAAGCCACCACCAGGATGAAAGAAGCCCAGGAAACCCCACTCCTCAAGTAAAACTAAGGATGGAAAATGAGCACAAAGTGTCCCATTCCCTCTTCCTTTTCAGCAGACACAGTTAAGTTCTCAACCGAGCAGGGTTTTTTTCTGCAAAGGGTGTGTGGAGGAACTCAAACTAAAAAAAACAAACAAAAAAAAAAAAAACATATTTAGGATTATGGAATTAGGATATTCAAATATACAGTTTGTTAATAAGGAAAACTACAGCAGATATTAAGCTATGAAAAAGCAGTGAATAAATACCACCTACAGAACTCAGAAGTGTTATTATTGCTCTTTCACTAAGGTCCTCCTGTCATGCATTTGTTCTGCAGAAGAGCCGCTGTATGAAAGCGAAAACCAAAGCAGAAAAAGCCAGCAGAGAACAAAAGCCACTGAGGGCAGCTTGGTTTATTATTTGCATAATTTGTTATCCGGGGAAGAATGAGGAGTTCTGTTCCATGTTAAATGAAAAGGGTTGAGGAGATCAGGACAGTGCAAGTAAAAGCAGAAATAGCTGCAATGCTAGAAAAGTAAAAATACCTCCTACCACTAACATCCATACAAATGGTTGATAACCCAAACACAGATGTACCTAAACACAAACCTTTCCTACTGCTCTTTCTGCATTTACAAGTTGCAAAATTTCTACGCTAAAGAAAGGTCAAAGGGACATAGGTGGCATCAGAAGATGGAATTTCAAATGGTGTATGAATCTGCAAAGGAAGTAAATGAACTCACAGTTGACTTGGGAGGAACCTCAGTATGTGCTGTGGATCAGTTCAGTGGAATGTGTGACCACATGCAGAAAGCACAGTGTGTTGAGGCCCAAGTTCTAAACAAATGCTTGTTTCCCACTCTCTAGAGTAGAAAGCAGGCTGCAAGCCTTGGAGATGCGGTTCCAAGACCTGGACGCAAGCCTGCAGAAGCTGGCACAGAAGTTTGAGGTGCAGGCCGCGCTTCTGGAGGAGGAGAAGACCCAGGATGCAGTGTGGACATCTGCACTGGAGGACAGGTGGGCAGCAGGGAAGGGCCAGCACCAGCTGTCTGTGCCCTGCACCTGCGGGTGGTAAGTGCACTTCAGTGTGTATTTGTACAGCCTGGGCACAGCCTGAATTACCACGTGCTATGGAAACAGGAAGGGTCGTTTGATTCAAGCTGTTTATTTGAAATAAATGTTTGCGTGGTAAAGAACCACACCACTTCCCAGAGACAGGGAAATGAGAAACACGGATGTTCTGATTCCCTTCTGCTAGCAAGGCCCGGAGATTGCACTTTGAGCACCTGAGGTTAGAGTTGGATATCACGAGGCTTTCTGTCTTCTAAGAGGGCACGCTGAAATCACTTAGCGGAGCAGCTGCTGCTCAAGGACCTCTGGAGAAGCGGTGCGGTGGGGTGCGGGCGGATGCCTTACAGCACAGCTTCCTCCTGCAGCCACACAGCACAGCGCCGCTTCCTCCCACAGCCGCCCAGCGCAGCGCCGCACCCAGCCGGAAGCCGCGGGGCCGCACGGCGCAGAGCGCCGTGGCTCTTCCTGCTCACTGCAGCCACCGCGAGGCTCCCACACGGATCGCCAGCCTTCCCGCAGGGCGGAGCAGCCCGCTGCCGTGAGGGCGGAGCGCGGCCTGTGAGCGCCGGAACTGGGAGGTGAGAGCGGCGGGCGGCGCGGCCCGTTCCTGCGCTGATGGCCGCGGCCTGCGCTCCGCTTCCCGCGCTCCGCTTCCCGCGCTCCCTGTGGTAAGCCGTTACCGTGCCGATGCTCGGCCCGCGCTCGCTCCCTCCGGCCCGCAGCCGCCTGCCTGGCCGCGGGCCCGCAGCCTCCCTGTGAGGATCCCCGCCCTTCTGGAGCCGCAGGCCCGCCTTCACCCCGCTCGGTGTGTGGAAATTGTGTGTATGCCGGCTGAAACCTCCTGTCCCAGCAGAGGTAATACGGACCGTGCGGATAGTTCGTTACAGAGAGAAGCACCGCTGAGTGTCTCCGTGTTATCCAGCTGAAAAATAAATGCCTTCTGGTACTAAGGAAGAGCAAAACCCCCAGAAGTCGCCTTGTGTGCCTCTGTCTCAATGTCAGCTTCTTCTGTGGGTTATCAGGGTCGAACTGTCACAGCCTCTGTCAGAAAGCTCTGTCTGTGCAATACCTGATGTTTTACGTTTTTTTAAATTTTTGTAGCTTGAAAAATCATATTTTTGTTCCTTTTGCTGTGGGGGGAGGATGGGGGTGGCTTTTGTTCTTTCTGATGCACCGCATTCTGGGTAAGTGAAAAGCCGTTTGAGGAGGGCTGGTGGCAGAAGGGCTGGGTGATCCCCACTGTTTGAAGGCGTGCGGGTCGTGGTGGGAGGCACTGAATTACTGAATGCATTGGTTAGATCTTTGCTTATGTTTGTCAGACTTAAAAGGCACTTTGACTTTTGCCTTCCAGCTTAAGCAAATGAATGAATGTGGAAGATCCTTCTCTCTAAGGAAAAGCCTCTGATGCACAGGGAGAATGATGTATTTCACCTTCGTGTGGAGCTAAGCTGTACTAGAATCAACTTTTGAAGGATGTACATATAGCAAAAAACGGACTAATCTGAAAGTTAATTCAGTAACTGTGATAACATCCACCAAGCGTGACCTTAGCTTGTAACTAGGAGAAAATAAATGCTGAAAGACTTTCTTTACTTCTTTTTCCCCTGTTTCTATCTCCCTGCTATCCTCCGATGTACCTGCTGCAGTTCACAGGAAACTGCAGTAGGAATCCTTGTTTCACAGGGACTTCTGTTAAGACTTGCATCTTCCTCTGTAAGTCAAAAAGTTAGCAGCTTTCTTAAATATGCTGAGCTTTTTGTAGGGTAGTTAGGACACAATTTGTTAAAATACACATTTCTTTCTGCTTTCAGGTACTGCTGTTAATTTGTCTCATTCCTGATCTTCAAGTCAATATGTCAAAGAAATCGGAGGCTCCCCTTTCCTTAGATGACTGCCTCTGCCAAATCTGCATGGAGATCTTTGTGGAGCCTGTCACCCTGCCATGCAACCACACCATCTGTAATTCCTGTTTCCAGCTGACAGTTGAAAATGCCAGTCTTTGCTGCCCCTTTTGTCGACGTCGAGTCTCTTCTTGGGCACGATATAATGCCCGCAGGAATACTCTTATCAACTGGGAACTCTGGGAGAAGATTCAGAAGAAATATCCGAAGGAATGCGAGCGGAGAATTAACGGACAGGATTTGGAAGAGGAAAGTAAGTAAGACGTCACTTGTCCTGTGCTTTACCAAAGGAATTAGTACAGGTGGGCTTTGGATGTTGTGAAAGAAGATACTGTGCATAGATGCGCTGTGTTGTTGCTAGAAAATGCAGTGCAGAGCTGTCCTGTGAAAGGGACTTCAAGGCAGGGCAGTGGCCATTCCTTTTGTTGTCTGCAGTACAGAGTAAGTAATATTGTCCCATCGTTTCAGTGGATATTTGTTCCTGCTTTTTGCACAAAATGTTGCTGTATGGTTCTTTGTCCTTGCAGAAACAGCTATTACTGATACAGCTGCAGCTGTAAGATCTTTAACCAGTGTTTGTGGGTGTGTTTATCCCCATTAAGTATGTCACATGGTTAAACCTTGGTGATTTATTTTCAACTTTTAGATACCCTCACTTAGTTTCATTAGAAATACCAGGTTCTCCAGTCTATTTAAGAGTCTTAGAGCCTAAAATTGTGATGTTAGACAAAAGGAAAGGAAATCTGACTCTCTCCCTGAAGAAGGGTATGGGGGTTTATTATGTTGTAACCTCCATTCAAATTTGATCCCCTCTGATAGTTTTATACCTGGGAGAGGCAATACTTTTCTCACACCTCTTCCTGTTCTTCCCATCGTGGTCAGCACCAGCACTGGCATTGGGTGTTTAACACAACTCTGAGAAAAATGGGCATAGTAACCTTAGGATTTCTTAATAGAACATAAGAACAAATTTTTCTTAGTATCTTTTAGGTGTGTTGTATTAAAATGACACAGGACTCAGAATCCTGAATGTTTTGAAGGGCTAACAGAATGGAGTATTCTAGCTGGAACAGAACATCCTTAGCAGAAAGCAAAATATTTAAAAAGTAAGTGAATAAATTGAAAAGTGGATAGCATTTCAAGCTCCTTTGGTAGGCCTTCCTTACAACACGTTGTTCCACTTTTTTTTGCTTACAGCAAAGTCGTTAGAGGCAAAAATCAAGAGTTATTACCAGTGTGCATATTTGCTTTGTATCCAGGGCTTGGAACTGGCTGTTCCTGCTACTTTGTAACATACTTGCTTTCATCTTTTGTATTTTGAATTATTTTACTTTGTTCCAAAGACTTGACTTAAGCCATTCCTGTGGCAAGATATGGAAATGATCTTTTGTTAAAATGTTTTATTGTTGATTGTCATGATTTTGCTTTGTGCTCACTCTTTTTTTATTACCCCCTTCCTCTTAATTAGTCTTCATCCCCCATCCACATCACCAGCTGAGCAAACCTGGGGAACTGAGACAGGAATATGAAGCAGAGGTTAGCAAGGTAGGTCTAAAAATGTATTTAAAAGTGCAAAATGCTTTGACTCTAGTCGTTTTAATTGTTCCCACAAACAGTTGAAATGTTGTTGAACAAAAAAAGGCAGGTACTTAAAAGGTCAGTGTTGCTACAAGAACATGCTAATCTGTGCTACCGCTGATGTGTTGCTTCTGAGGTTTGGATCCCATGTGGAAAGAAGAGAGGGAGGACACAGTGTGTGTTCTTCAGCAAGAGCTGACAGCTGTTGCTAACAGTGGAAGGTGACAGCCTTCAGTTCAGATGCACAGTTGACTTAAGCTAGGAGACCTAGTTTATTCAGCAATGTGTGTTGGCTTATGGATGCATTTTCCTGTGGCAGTTTCAGCTTATGCCTCCTTCAGGTATTGGTCAAGCTGTTATACTGCAGGCTTAGTGTCTACCACTCAAAATCGAGGCTGAAGAAGGACTTTTGTTTAAGGCTCTGTTTTCTTTATTCAGAGGCTTTTGGGCTTTACATTTTGTAAACTTTTCAGATCAAGCACGTTCTGTGGGAAGTACAGCTGGAGTGATTTCATTTGAACTGTTTCCATGGAAGGAGTGTTAGTGAAGAGACTCTGATGCAAAGCATGGTGCTATGGCATCTGCATACCTTAAAAACAATTCTTTCTCAGGTGGAGGCAGAAAGGCGAGCCCATGAGCAAGAAGAGAACAAGGCAAGTGAGGAATACATTCAACAGCTGCTAGCAGAAGAAGAGGAAGAGCACAGATTGGCAGAAGAAAGACGAAAGGAGATGGAGGAGCAGCTTAAACAAGATGAGGAGTTGGCATGGCAGCTCAGTAACAGCTTGGTGAGTTAACATAGAAGGGGACGTTTTGCAATGTTCATTTAGTGTAAGCAACTCAGACTTTTTAGAGCAAAAGTTAAACGTCTGAATAACTTAAATTTGCCTGAATTGCATTTGAAAGCTGTTGTCAGCTGTCAGTACTTTAGCTCCTAGACTGACTAACTTCTGATGAACCAGCATGAGGGTGAAGTACCTCCAAGCATTTCTACCTGTATAGCAGGCACTTGAAATGGCTGTAGGAATTTTTTGCTACAAAACATTTTGAAACATTGGTTTTCTTCTGGCTACTTCCTTTCCCCTATGAATTTAAAAATTCTGCTTTGAAAGAAGGTCTATATCCTCATGTACTGAAGAAAGGAACAAATGATGTTTGAAAAAGTTTAACTTAGATTTGGGATTTTTTAAATTTTTTAATTTTTTTTCTGGAATTCCTTGGTCAGAAGTAACTGATTCTGTAGCAGGACAGAAGTAGTTGTCCTGTTTGTGTTGTGGTTTGTTTTATATAACGCTATTTTTCTTTGTCACTGAAGAATGACAGTTTGGGAGAACACGTGCTCAGCAGTTCTTCACGAGGAGACAGCCTCTCCCATGAGTCACTCCCAGCTAATTTGTGCAAGACGAAGAACAAACCAAGCAACTCCGGAGACATCCAGAAGTAAGAAAGCTAAGTTTCTGTTCTATGATTAGTGATCTGTTTCTCATTATAGTGCCTTTCTGTTCCGTGTGCTTCCTTGGACTCTTGCAGCCTGACTTCCCTGTATAACTTGGGCAAATGTAGGCTATTGAATATTGAAACATCTCCTTATAGGATAACGCGGCGGAGAAGAGATACCCTCACCCCTCTTGTTATTGTCAGCATGAACCTGAGGTCATGATTGCTATAAGGGACTAGCAATGCAAAGGAAGAAAAAAAGGTTTTAACAAGTGTGCCTTTTGCTTTGTTTTTGCTGCCTTTTAGGTACCTGACTCCAAAGCACCGTCACACGTTGCAATCAGCTTCATTCTCCAGAGCAACAGAGGGAGGTGGGACTGACCCTGGATTTGCGGTAATGGAATCATCTTGTTACAGATCGCAGTGTTAGCAGTTGCAGGTTACTCTCTGCTTTGCCTGTAGTAATGCTGTCAGCACTGGGCACTCTGTATATCCATCTCAGGAGCTGTTCATTATTCACAATTCCCAAAAGTGCAAAAGGAAGAAACCACGCCTGGCAGTCAGCTGACGCACAGCTGCAGCTTATTTTATGGTTACCTTGTATATCTGCACTGAGGCTTTGGTGAACTTGAACACTGACAAGATCTTTGAATGATGGAACCATAGAATGGCTTGGGTTGGAAGGGACCTCAAGGATCATCAAGTTCCAACCCCCCCGCTGCATGCAGGGCCACCAACCTCCATATCTAGTACTAGACCCAGGTCTCTTCCATTCACAGATTGTCACCATGTCCACAAACAATTTTAATTACTTTGAGTTTTTCTTCTAGTTTGGCAGCTTTGTTTTGGTTTTATTTTTGTGATCTCAGTAATGCATACTCCTGGTTTTTGGAGGTGTAAATGCTGTTCACGTTAATATTTTCAGTGAACTCTGAGCTGCAGCTGCTGGCATATAACACTCTAATGATTATTGTGGAGCTCATCCAGGGAGGTTGCATTCTGATTTTCACAGTTCCCATTTGTCTGGATCTTTCCTGCTAAGCTCTGAGGATGAGCAGGGTAATTCCTTGAGCAGCTGATTGCAGTCACTGATAACAGGAGAATGCTGCAGTTCTTTTCAGTCTCCCAGCTATGCTTCTGCAGGTCGTTCTGAATACTTATTTAACAATGCTGTTTATTCATTCTTGTTAAAGAAGAATCCAAGTTAATATCCCGGAGTAGTTATGAGCAGTGCAGCTATGATAAAACAGATTTGCATTTTATTTACATCCATTGGCTTATAATAAATGCCTTTAATTAGAGATCTCTTTCTCTTTTTTTCAGATCAGTAACAATGAAGGCAGCAGTACTGAGGGGCAAGACGAGCAAGAGGAAATGCCAACGCTGTCTCCACAGCTGAGTGGTGTGACCAAAGGTTCCAGTGCCGAGGATTTGTTTATGCAGACGTACATCAACTTCCTAAATGCCTCAGCTTCAGAGGAGACCACAACTGTCAAGCAAAAAAATGCACACGAACCAAACTGTCTCAGAAATGAACTTCTACATACAACTTGTGGAATTGCAGAAGGAGAAGGGGCTAGAACAGTTCTTTCCACATCCAAAGGAGAAGGTGGAGTAGTATTGGACAGTGACAGTTTAACTCATGTAGGCAGCGTAAACCTTGAAAAGTGTGCTGAAACTAGTACTTGTATTCAGTTAGCAATAAATTCCGTGTCTGACAGCAAAAGTGTAAAAGGTGATCTCATGAAGACGGCTGGAAATGCGGATGAAAAGAAACCAGAGAGTTTGGCAAACGCTAAGGAGGCTCCCAAAAGAAAGTCTCCAGAACAACTGGCTGAAGCAGTGGTTGACTTGGGTGTGGTTGACAAGAGGAGAAGAACTTTTCCAGGAACTTTGGAGGAGGAAGCAGAGTGGAAAAGAGACTTCAATTTGCAAATGCAGAAAGCCTTTGAGCAGGAGCTCCATGAAAGGCATATGCAGGAGGAGCAGGATAGGCTTCTGGCTCTGCAGCTGCAAAGACAGTTCAACAAAGAGGAGAGGTTACTGAACCGACAGAAGGGATCTCCAGATGAGTACCTTCTTCGTACTAAAACACCTCAATCTGTGAAGGACTCTTCTAGAAAAGGAAGCTCTAAGATAGCAAAGGACTCAAAAGTATTGAAAAAACAAAGTGAAACAAATCACCACAAGGGTCGGAAAGGTTCTTGCAATGAAAACTGGCAGTCTCCTACCAGGGTCCGAATGAAATCACCCAGCAGTGGAAAAGTCTTGAATTGTGTTGTTAACACCAGTGATTCAAATGATGTTCATTCACTGCCTAAGAGAAAACAAAAGACAATCCTTCAGATGCTTAAAAGCCCTGTTACTGAGTAGAACAGCAGAACCACAGACACATGGTTAAATTAACTGGAATTAAAACCATGGTAATGCTTATCCCTGTGTCAGGCAAAGCTTCTCCTAAACAGTTAGAAAATGGATGGTTTTTAGGGTTGGGCTTTGGGCTGCAAGAGTGACCAAAACTGTCTATTAAAATGTACTGTGAATGTTTTTGAGAAGTTTAAATAACTTACGCCTCTAGACCTTAACATTTTTAATTACTCCTCTCTCAACTATGGCTTCTTTTCTAGGACTGGCATTTTCAAGCTGTTTTTTTTAAGCTGGAATGTAAATACAGTTATTGTTTGAAATCCAAAGTAACTGATGGTCCTAGAATGAGAACTCAGAGCCTTTTGTGGGGACTGCATGTTCCCCAGAGGAAGCAAAGATGTGTGTCTGTATCTCTGGTTGTCTGCTGACTGGGAGACTGAGGCTTTACAAGGCACAGGCACTGCTAAAGGATGTTACTGGAATTTGGTTTATTCGTTGAATTGCAGTTTGCTTGGCAGTTAAAAGGATTGTAACCAGATAAGCCAGTCTTGCAAAGGCATTTTCCCTCTCTCTTATCCTTTCACAGAGTAACACCTTTTTTGGGAAAGGGGAAAAAAAAGGATCATTCTTCCACAGTCAAAGGCAAGGATCTCTCACAGATGCCAACAGCAGAAGTGGTTGTGGGCTCGCATTTACTTCTGTTCATTTTCATTTTGTTTTCTTGTTAGTAGCCTGTAACTTACACAGTCTTGCCTGGATTTACTGCTATTTAACTTTCACGTGCAAACTGACTTGAGGCTGATTATAAGCACCTAATATTCAAAAATGATTAGTCCAGGAGACAGTTATGATGGAGAAAGTAAAACCAAAAGGGGGAGAAGCAACAAGAGTTACCAGTATCGACTTAATTTAACTTTCAACTGGAGTTCAACTACTAGGCCTGGCTGTAACCGTTGCTCCATTATTATTATTTTCTGAAGAACTAGAAAATACTGTCTTCCAGTTGAGTTTGATGGTAAAATAATTAAAAAGAATTACAGTTTAGGCATTCTGTGAAGCTGACACTCTGCCAAGTTGAGGCCTTTGGAACAGTCTGTTAGCTGTTAGCAGGTACAGTTTCCTATTTTGCTATTGTGAAGCCCATCTTCTGGCTTTTCTTTGAATGTAATGATATATTTCTCAAGTATGCATTTTTGAATGAGAGCAAAACACCAACTTACACTGCTGACCTTTGCGTGCTCCTTGCTGAATAGCAAATGTGCAAAAAAGTACACGTTTGAAATCTTGTGGGCGATCTGCAAGACTTTAACACAGCTCTGGGAAACTTGTAACAAATATTTTAAAGCAGTAACTTCTGGTGTTATGTAAGTTAAAAAACAAACAAGCAAACCACAAAGCATTTTAAAAAAAACACAAAAAAAAAAAATCCTGAAAGAAAGGAGACCAATTATTTTAAATTGATGGCACATCTCGGATACTGTTGGGTTTCTCCTAAATAAGTGCAGTATTCAGACAGCCTTCTTGAGAAAGCTACAGGTGACATGTTGCAAATAATTCATTTTTCCCATTGCTGCTTCAGCCATAGCCCTGGAAGCCTTCGTTTGAGATAGACCCCTTTCAGTGCAATTCTTATTTCAGTTTGTTTTCATCTTACCCAGGCAGTTGGATGTACTCCGTTGCTGATTACAGCGTTCTTCAGGGCTGAGGTATTGACTGTTTCTGTGCTTAAAATACTTTTCCTGTCATGATAAGCATGTAATAAGTAAACTCTTATTTCCAGAGCAGCTGAGGATGAAGAGTTTTGTTCGTAAATCTCAATTCAGCCCTGTCTTAAAATCCATTTATCAAGTCTGATGTCTATTTTAAACTTGTTCAAAAACTGGTCCCTGCTTTGGCATGGAGAACCTCTTTCTGAGAGCATGGCACCTGATGCCTGCAGCCCTTTCTCAAGTAAGTGATCAGAAGCACCTCGTGCTCCTATTGGTTTTATTTTTTGAAGTTCTGGTATAATTAAACTACAACCAGCAGTGAGAGAGAATTCTTCTCTCTTTGAATGCTTTAGCATTCTGAGCTCTCTATGAACCAGTTAAAGATCCTGAAGGGAATGGAGGTGGGAGAGAGCAAGGGAAAGGGAAGGCTTTCCTTTGGCAGCGTGAGCTATTTCATTTGTAGCTCAGTGTGCCCCAGTATGTGAGACTGTCACATATATATAACAGCAGTTTCATTCCCTTTTCCTCCACAGCTGTATTGTGCATTCTTTCTTTTCCTCTTAATATGATGGTTACTACATAAAGTTTATAATATACACACAACTAATCTCAGTTAAAAGGTAGGAATTAGACAATATGGAGGGGCTTTTTTGCTTCTTAAAGGCTTACTTCACTGCCATCAATAACAAATCCTGCAAATAAATACAAAAAAGTGCAGAAAGAAGCCATTTCAAAAGTCGGAATTGTACAGGAATACAATTTTGGGATAGGTGTGTATTTGGGGGGGGGTGGTACACTTTTTTTTCCCATTATTTTTAAAGCTTGCTGGGATAGTCTTTTAACTTCACATACCCCAAAGGTGCAGGTATGTAAGTTGTACTTTTATAATTAGTAAGTATACTTTGGCAGCTGTCTAAAATTCACTTTAACTTGGACTGGGAAAAAGAAAAAAACAAAACCACCTTGCTTTGCGAAACACATCTCACGTGGAAAAGTTGAAAGGCTGTTGCAGAATGGGGAAAACAAACAAGACTAGAAGTCAATCATTAGACACGCACTCAACTGAAGTACACAAAGCCTACAACCCGTACTGGGTGCCCAGACCAGCAGCCTTGTGAGGGCTGCAAGCGTTCGGATCCCCACATGGCCGTACTCACAGCACGTGTGGCAGAGCGGTCCTCAGGAGCGTCCTCGTGTTTATTTTATGCTTTTCTTGTTGGAGGTTGGAATTCAGCCGCTGGGAGGATTTTGGTTGCTCCAAGCGCTTTGCAGCAGGCTTGGGTTGGTTAATGATTCCTTTGCTTGTGAGTGTGAGGCTCTCAAGCACTGACACGGAGCAATTAAGCTCTCAGTGCTTGATCTCTAGCGCACTGAGAACTCACTAGGCAACCCTGGGGAGCCGTTCTTGTTGGTGTGGTGATATTTCTCAGGTTCTGGTTCATAAAACTCCTTTCCTCCAGTCCAATGCCTCCCACACAGCATTCCACCCGATGCTGTTCTGAGGTAAATCTGCATGAAAGCAATGGCACCCCACCACTCCACTCAACCCTCCTGCTGGTGAGAGGAAGGCTGGGCGCACAGCCTACCCGGGCTCCAGCAACGCCTTTGGCTCTCTCCCACGGCGTTCTCCCGCACGACAGCAGCCGTGGCCGGACGTGTTGCCGAACAAAGAACCGGAGGGCCGGGCCCAGAGAGCGTTGCTGGATGGAGAGAAACAAACATGCGCTCCCGCTGGGGTGCAGCAGCACCACTTCCTGCGCCCGGCGGAACCGGCCTCAATCGATCCCTTTCCCGCCACGGCGGGTCGTCCCCTCAGAGCAGGCGGCCGATGAGCCGCGTTACCACAGCAACTCCCGCGCCCCGCCCCTGCGCGGCGCCACCCAGGCGGCGGGGCAGAGGAAGGGCGCGGGCGGGCTTCGCGCCTGCGCGGTGCGCGCGGGCCGGCGGCGTGCGTGTTGTTGTGCGGCGGCGGCAAGATGGCGGCGCACGGGGGCTCGGCGGCCTCCGCGGCGCTGAAAGGGTTAATCCAGCAGTTCACCGCCATCACGGGTGAGGCACGAGGAATGCCGGGCCCGGACCGGCTCACCGCCGCTTCTCCCTTTCGTCGAGCGGCCGGGATGGAGGCGGAGGGCCGGGCGCGGTGAGGCGGGGGCCCGGCGGGGCGAGGGGCCGGGCCCGTCAGCGGGGCGGCGGCGGGGCGCCGGGCTGCCGCGAAGCCCGCCTCGGGGAAATGCGGCTGCGGAGAGGCGGGCGGCTCGCCCCGCGGCCGGGAGGCGGTCCGCCGGCCGGGTCCCCGCTCGGGGTCGCGCAGTTCGTGCTCGCTTCGTGGGAAGCTCGCGCGTCGCGTGACGGCGCTGAGTGGCGTCCGCTGGAAGCGTCCGTGCGGAGCGTCGGCGTGTCGGCACCGCCGTCGGCTGCGGGCTGCGGACGGACGCGACGTGCGTGTTTTGGGGCTCCCCGGACACGGCACCCGCAAACGGGAGTGCTGGGGAGTTACGGGGCCTGGGATCTTCTGACGGAAACCAGCTGGACTAAACCCTCGCCGCTATGAAAGAAGAAGCGTCTTTCGTTACGGCGAGCTCCCGTGTGTGTCTGGTGTTCTCGTTCTCAGCGGTGCCTGAGAGAAGGCCGAGCAGAGCTGTGCTGTTTGCCCAGCAGCCCTCTGCGCATATAGCTGGGTGATGGAGATGTCTAAACCCTGCTACTGATCTTCAGAACAGAAAACAAGATCCTGCTGGGTTCTGCCCACCTACCTCTGAAAGAGAGGTTTGAGGTTCTGTTAGTTGTAATAGAATGTAAGGTTCTGTTTAGAGGTGAGTTCTTGCAGAGTTGTCTGACCCTGTGGCACAGTGACAGGTGCTGCACAGCACACCCTCACTGGTCTGTCATCAGCCTGCACCTTTGGTGTGAACCTGCTTTCTCAGGGGGGTAGACAGATGCTCCAGCCCCTATGGTTCTGTGTAAGTGCACATAATTACCCACGTTTGTGTGGAAAAGGTGAAATGAATTCCATCAGACCAGAAGGCCAGCTGTGTTCTGGGCTGCATTAAAAAGGGGTGGCCAGCAGGGAGAGGGAGGTGATGGTCTCCGTCTCCCTGGCTCTTGTGAGGCCCCATCTGCAGCACTGCATCCAGGCCTGGGGCCCCCAGCACAGGAAGGACGTGGAGCTCTTGGAGCAGGTCCAGAGGAGGGCACTGAGATGATCAGAGGGCTGGAGCACCTCTCCTATGAGGAAAGGTTGAGGAAACTGGGCTTGTTTAGCTTGGAGAAGAGAAGGCTCCCAGGAGATCTCGTTGTGGCCTTCCAGTACTTGAAGATAGTATATAAACAGGAGGGGGAACGGCTGTTTGTGAGGGTGAATAGTGATAGGACAAGGGGAATGGTGTTAAACTGAGACAGGGGAGGTTTAGGTTGGAGATGAGGAGGAAGCTTTTAACCCAGAGGGTGGTGATGCACTGGCACAGGTTGCCCAAGGAGGCTGTGGATGCCCCATCCCTGCAGGCATTCAAGGCCAGGCTGGATGTGGCTCTGGGCAGCCTGGGCTGCTGGTTGGTGACCCTGCACACAGCAGGGAGTTGAAATTAGATGATCACTGTGGTCCTTTTCAACCCAGACCATTCTATGATCTGCTTCCAGCACACCTGATGGTGAGCAGCAGTCACAGAATCACAGAGTCTGGAAAAGACACTATAAGCATCAGATCCAGCTGCCAACCCATGTCTGCTAACCCGTAGTCCTTGAATATACTTCTCAGACAGCAGTTTTTTTTTCTTTGGTGCTCTCATCCAGAGAAGTGTTAAGAGAGTATACGTCCTGTGTATCTTTAAGTCCTGTGTATCTTTACAGATGAAATTACGAGATGAAAAGAAATTTCTTTCAAATCTTGCAGAATAATTAGAATTTCTGTTTGCCAGCAGGAGCACTGAGAACATTGATGTGATGCTGTTTTCCTTAGGACTGAGGAAGATTTGGTACGAACGCATTGTATATTCATGACTTTAAAAAGCAGAAGGTCGAATATAATTTTTCTTCTGGTCCTCCTAAATGAACAGCATGGTGTGACTGTGCAGTGACGTTGCAGGCTGTATGCATATTCCACAATCTTCAGGTATTGCTTCGTTTCTGCAGCTGGTGTTGAAGTGAGCTCCTGAAAATATGAAAGAGCAGTTACAGTGAAAAACTGTTAGATGCTTTTGTGTTTGGTTGGGGATGGTACTAGTTCATTCTGCACTCTTATTTTGACTAAGGTCCTCAAGCTTAGCTGAATACCATTGGGGTGCTCTTGTGGCAGGTTGGTTCTTGGGTTTGTTTTTTTTTTGAAAAGTTACTTTGATCAGCTTGGCTTTTCCTTTGTGGTATAATATAGTGGCACAGGACATTTAGTATTGCTTTATCTCAACAGATTCAAAGTGTGTTCAGTGTATCAGTCTGTTTAATCTAAAGCTCTGAGTACTTCCTGGAAAATCTCAGGACACCCAATGAAAGTAAGTTAAATGTTTTGCTCAAAGTGGCGTTAGCTGTCATTCTGAAGCTGGGAAAATAGTTTTCTTCATTTCAGTGACTTGTGGTGAAGCTGGTAAGAATTATTGCAGACCAAAAACTGCTCCCAAACTGGTTCAGCTGCATTTTGCCACTCTTTTCTCTGTTCCAGCTTTTCCATATTAAAATAGACTCTTTGGCAGCCTGCTACCTATAGAGACGTAGTGTAGTAAACAGACTCTTAAAAGATTAGATGCAGGAGGGATTCAGGTGGTGCTTTTGTTGACTGTACGGCCTTGAGGAAGCTTTAGAGGCAGACTCTGTAAGGAAGAACTACAAGTGTTGCTAAGGAGTAATGTTTCATCCTGAGCAGCGCATTGGTCTGCATTTGGTTGGGCCTGGGAGCCATTCTAGTAAGTGTTAGTGATGATACTACTTTTTCCCTGTTCTCTTTTAAAATTTCCTTGTACATGAACTGAGCTTGTGCTTGTTTGTTTCTGCCTTCTGGAGCACTCAGTGAAACGGAATCTTTTCTTCTTTAAGTATCTGTTAGAGGAGGGTAAAAACTTTGGCACTGGATTTAGTATTCTCTCTGTTAAAATGTTAAATCAGTTGATTGTTTTGTTGGTTTTTTTTTTTCATATAACACAACAGAAGTCAAATTTAATAAGCTTGTCAATATTTGGAAAACTGTACAAAGAGAAAAAGAAGCGCTCAAAAATGCTCCCGCAGAATTGCTGGAAGGGAGAAGCGTGGCTGTTCTGTATGCAGGCATTCCCTTTTCCCTTGAGATGTGTGTTTGTCTCACCTCATAGTCATGCCTTAGGGATAAATGGCACCTGCTGAACTGCTCTAATGATCAGTGCTTTAGAAGAGAAGCTTGCTGGTTAGCTGTTCCCAGCGCTTCTGATCAGAACACTTCATGAAGAATGCTTCAGTATATTTTTTTTTGCCTTACAGGTGCCAGTGAAAGCGTGGGAAAACATATGCTTGAAGCATGCAACAACAACCTGGAGATGGCTGTCACCATGTTTCTGGATGGTGGAGGCATAGCAGAGGAGCCCAGCACCAGCTCTGCAGCAGTGTCTGCAGTTCGGCCACACACCGAGTACGTACATGGGCATGTCTGCATAAATATGAGTAGCCTGTCTTAAAAGTTTTGTAGTGTAAGACAGAACAATTCAAGCAGTTGTTCTTTCTCCTACCCTGCTGTTATTTCAGTGTAATGTGTGCTTCTTTGATGATCCTGTTTGATTGATTGCTTTGATGTTTTTCTTAATAAATAAGTTTTTCTTATTGCACAAGCTGGTCTCTCTTGCGTGTACTTCAGAAGTTTCCCATTGCATGCACATGCTGTTTTTGCAGGCGTAGTTTGGGTCACTGAGGTGAGGATCCAGCAAAAAGTGGGTCTTAGTTTTAAATGGCTCCAGGAGTCTTGCTCTATGTTCTTTTGTACTTAGAGAATTTTGTTATTTGGTTTTTATTAACTGAGACCCGAGTCCCATTTGATAGCATTTTCTTGTGTTGTTTTAACAGTAGATCACGTACACTGATGTGCAGAGGAACAAGCAACTACAAAATCTGCATTAGTGTCTTACATATCACATGCCAATAAAGGTGCTTGGACATGGCAGAGTCTTTTGGTGCTGCCTGTTAATGTGCCTGCATGGGATAAGGGGAATATTTTGCATGGAAGCTAATTGGTATCAGTCACATCTGTTGAAAGTTCTGTATTAAACATAGCCATGCTTTCTTCTTTATGGAAGTCTTTTACTTCAGGCAAGAGGGAAATAACTTTTAAAGAAAATTCTTGCTGCTTGTACTTCTGAAGCACATGTATACATTTAAACAACTGTTAGCACTAACTTCTATAGTTCAGTGCCTCCCTGTTTGAACCTGTAACAGGTAATGAAGTTAAAAGTCTGTATCTGTAGGTGTTAAGAGTTCGTATTTCTAGATAACTTCTGGCACATCAGTAACTCAATATTCAAGGTTTATTTTGAATACTTCCTTTTTTATACTTGACACCTTCAGGTGCTGGTCAGCTTAGTTTTACTTCTAGGAAGAAAGAAAAATATGCAAATGCAGAAAGGAGAATAACTAGCTTCACAACAGCGATCAAAGATGTGGAGGCTAATAGCAAGGTTAGTGAATCTTGCTGGTGGTGTGAGTTACTGCTTGAAACCTGCATGGCCAGGAGCCAATAACTGCACACTTAAAGACTTTGAAGAGTCCAGGAAGGTGTGCAGCTCGGGAATACTCTGTAGGTCAGATGTTGAAATGGATTTTCTTGGATGAGCCTGTGCTGCTCCTCTGAGTAGATACATGAGTTAGGGAACTGAACTGAGTACAACTGAGTACACATTTCTATTCTTTCATAGCTCTTGTGATTTTATTTCTTCTCCTAGACGTAATTTCAGTTTACATAGTGTTCTCTGTAAGCATAGCTGAGCTGCTGAAATGTGAAAGGAGCCCAGCCATGAAAGCAAGTAATTGCTTCAGAATTATATGGAGGAAAATAACCATTTTGACCATCTTGTTTTACATGCTGTGGGAAAGAAAGAGTCATGAGTTTCAGGTGAAAATAAGAAGTTCCAGCAGGAGAAAGCTCATAGTAATCAGTCCTTTTTTTTTTCCCTCTGTGTACAGATAAACAGGGGAGGAGGGTGGCAAGTGGGTTAGTTAGCTTAGTTTTAAAAGACAGTTTCCAAGTTCTGAGGAGGTTGTGAAAGTAAAAAAATATGTATTTGAATTGTTTTTGTCAATTCAATTGACAGAAGACTGGGATCAGGGCACCACAGGATTTGTGTAATCTGTCAAGATGTAGAAAAGTGCACAGTGCACTTTAATGCACAACGTGCTACATCCTGCTTCAGTGCCTTGAGTGGGAGTAGAGGGTTCCTCAAGGTCTGTTTTGACATCAAATCTCTGATCCTGTGCAATGGTACAGCAGTGTCCTTAGCTAGTCCAGGTCGCAGGAACCTTTGGAACACAACATGGTTTGGTTTATTTAATACTTAAACATTATTATCTCTGATTTTCCTTTCCTCTTCAATAGGGATGAAGTACGAGCTCCAATTCCTCAAAAACAGGAAATTTTAGTAGAGCCTGAGCCCTTGTTTGGAGGTAGGCTTGTGTTCTTATTTCATTGTTTGCTTTCTTTAAATACCTTGAAATCATGTTTATATGATGAGAAAAACAAAATTTCATGAACATGAAGAAAGCAGTGTGCCTGTTTGTGTTTTTGCCCTGTTCCAGCTCCTCAGCCATCTAACATGACTGCATGCTTGGAAATATACTGATATTTAAAACCTTACACATCAGAGATGCTGTATTTGCAGTGGTGTCAATTTGCTAACTCCTTTTTCAGAGGACTTCTTGAGTCACCAGGCAGTTAGTAACGTTGAGTTCCTGTGTTCCTGGCATTCATAACCATGTGATACTGCTGCAAAAATGTCCAGACTGGTGGGGTGAAAGCTTGGGATCTGGCTGACAAGTGAAAATGGAGTGAACAAATGCATGTTTCTTGAGGACAGCCAGAAAGAAGGGTTGAACTGCATGATAGCTTGTCATTCTCTCAATTTCTCCTTTAGGAATTTAATTTGCACTTTAAGCTGCATCACACAGCTGAATTAAGAATCTTGCTCTTTTTGTCAATGGAAGACATGGAAATGCTCATCTTTATAGTGATCCCATGTCCATAGGAAATGCTTTTGTGTCGTTTAGTTCCTGCTGAATAGGATTGTGAGGCCTAGCTTCTGTTTCACTGTGGAACTGGTTCTCACTTGATCTTGTTTTCAACATCAGAGATTTGTTTTGCCAACATGCCCAAGCTGAGAGGTGGTTGCAGAAGGTGCCCTGAGGACTCTTGGAAGGCATTGTGCTGGCTTCTTCCTCTTGCTTCCTTTGTGACCCAGCAGTCTTTGACATTAGCTCCATAGATGCCTGTGGGTTCATGATCCTAAGAAGTACAGGAGTATGATCTGCACTCTTGCTGGTCCTTTTCTGCTCACGTCACACACTGAGCACAGACGTGCTGTCCCTCACTGCCCTACTGAGGCAATCTGTGGTAGCCTCCTGGCTCTGTCTCATCCAACAACTCTCATGTTCTCACTGATGCCACTTCTATTTATAGCATGAAGCAGCCCAGCAGCTGGAAAGCTGCCTCACTTGGTCCTTCAGCTCTAACCTCAAGCAGGGTATGTTCCAGTTTATGGTTTGAGCAGCTGCATATTGAGGTGCTTGAGTGAGCTTGGATTCTCTTCCAGTTGAGAAAACCTGTATCAGTTTGTACTCTGCCAGATACACTGAACCACTCCAGAAGTAGAAAATTTGTTAGAGAAACATCCATCTGGGTTGCAGTTCACATCTTCACCTGCACTGGACTTGTAGCAGCCAAGCCTGGAGAGGCTGCTTTTGCTGAAGTGCTATTTCAGCTGCTACTCAAAACTACAGTGTAAATTACTCTGAAGTTACCTGTAAGAGATTGTGCTTGTTGCTAAGCGTTTAGAGGAGAGAGATCCTTGCTGATACTGACACTGGATCCTATGAAGAGCTTGGCTGAGGCAAATTCAGCCCAGTTGGAATGAGATCTGGATAAGTGATTAAAAAGGAAATAGAGACGTGGAAGAAACAGTTGTGTTTCCTAAGAAAGAAGGTATTCTCCCTCTGGGTTTAATTTTATGAAGTTTTTCTTAGAAATCATCTTTAAAAGTCTTGATGGGAATCATGACATTTTGATGCTGTGACAGCACTGCCATTACATACTGATGTGCCTTTGGAGTGCTTGGTGAGCCCATGAGAAAAGGCTGACTTTACATTAGTGTGTACTGCTGGTACATTTTTCTCCTCTGCTGGGAAATTTGAAGGGAAGAAGTGATGGGGAAAAATGGTTCTCATAAGCTTACCTGTTTCATAGTGTGCCTTTGAAGTAATTACTGAAAGACTTTTTTCTTTGAAGCTCCTAAGAGACGCAGACCTGCGCGTTCAATATTTGACGGCTTCCGGGATTTTCAGACAGAAACCAGTAAGTGTCTGCTGATCAGTAACTTAGACAGGTTCTCTGTTGGGTTGGTTTTTTAGTACAGTAGTGATTTCAAATTAGTTTCCACTGTAGGCTTGATAGCTTTCAGTCATTGAATGCTTTTTAATTGCTTACTGCATGTAAGATGTTATTTGGGAAGAATACTGTTAGACTGTTCCTTGTTGTAGTGACAGTGCTGTTTGCTGACAGTACTCTGTCCTGTCTGTGGTACAGGAAGTGTCATTAATTTATTTCTGAGGGACCTTACCTTGTTCTGAAGTGGCTGAAGGGAAAGCATTGGTTGATGGATATATGAAGCAGGTACTGTGAATGCTGTGCAAAGTACTTGCCTGTGCTACATAAGTAAAACCATGAGACAGCATATTCTGCCTGCTTTCCTATGGCAAAATGCTTTCTTGATAACTCTCAAAAAAGCCTTTTTCTGCTTTAAAGAGAATTAAAAATGAAGAACAGTCCAATACCCGTGTATAAATTGAGTTTACTTATTATTTTTTTCTTTGATAGCCATAGGTGGCTCTGGCACTTGAATTAGATTTGAGTATAACCCTGAGGCTTCTTCCTTGGCCTTGTGAATTGATTCTAGTGAATTTAATCTATTTACCATTCCCTATCCATTCATTTGCAGGCTCTCCAAAAGACAAAGCATTGGGTGTTATATAAGCATTTAAGTTTCATAGGAAGGGATTCTCTGAGAGCCAAACACCATTTATTTTGCATCCCAGTTAGATTTGTTTTGCAGTTGTTGCCACTGATGCTACTGGAGTCCTGAAGAGCTCTAACCGAGGACCTGGTTCCCAAGGAGTTAGGTGCTGTCATATGCCAAACTGAAAATAAGCATTTACCATCTCTGGCTTTCCCCTGACAGCCTTGATCAGTTTGTCAGAAGTAATAATCTGATCAGGTGTTAAAGTCACTGGCAGCTACATACATTAAAATCAAGAATTTACAGAAGCTTCGTGCCCTTATTTTTTCTCTCTTATAGCAAAGTCCTTTAGAGTTTCATGGTCTGTAAAACCATTGTGAAGGTTTCTGATGAAACTGGATGTTTTGATGGTAAATTTCATGGGTGAAAATCACCATCTTGTTACCTCTGAAGAAATGGCCCTAGTCCTAAAAGTGCATGTTATTTCCTGGCTCCCCTGTAGGGATCCAGGGTCTGCTCAGAAGCGGTTTGTATGCTATGGCCCACTGATGTTTCCTTACACGATGGGAAGGCTTTAGGGTCATGCGATGGTTACTCATTTCAGCTGACTTGGTTCCATAAAATGCATGATATCACTGCATTTTTAGGTGAGCAGGTTCTGTGATTTACCTTATTTTATATGATCATGTATACGTAGGAAGTGTGCTCTGTATTGTTTTGAGTGGAAGTGATAACACCAATGGAAACTCAAAGTATGGTACTTGGTACAAACAGTCTGAAAACCTCTACATCTAGCAGATTGAGGTATCCAGAACTGACTGTGGGAAGTGTAGATGTGTAATATAAACTTGCAAATACATTTCTCCAAGTGAACTAAATCTTTCTGTGGGGAGTGCCTTACCTTCAGGTATTAGAAGCATTGAATTAGAAATATACTTAGTAAAGCTGTAGTGTTACAGAGTAGCTCAGTTGTTCCAGTCTAATAGCATCAGTTGGAGCAAGTCATAGCCTTTTTAAATTTTTTTTTGCTTGTTTGTTTTTGAATATTGATATATGACCACCTCCACTGATACTTACACTACCCAGGATGTATTTAAAAGTGAAATAAACACCCACTGCTTGCAAGAGTTAGGACAAGTGGGGGTTTTACCTAAAGCAACAGCTGATCTTCTTCAGTGTTTCCTTACGATTATCTCACCAAAGTTTTGTATATGGGGATATATTCAACTATAAATACATCCTTTGAGTATTTGGTCTAACTCAGCTTTGTTTCCTCTTGGGGCTGTGCAGTTCGACAGGAACAGGAGCTACGAAATGGAGGAGCAGTAGATAAGAAACTCACTACCCTAGCAGACCTCTTCAGGCCTCCCATTGATCTGATGCACAAAGGCAGCTTTGAGACGGTGAGTTTTTGAGTTTTGGTAAGTTCCACCTGTGTGGTGGCTGTGTGCAGTGTGGAAGCCCTTTGTTAGGCTGTGTGTGCAGGACAGTTAAAAGACCCTGTAGTGATAAATATTTGATACACTGCCTCTGAAGGTCTTAACTATCATTTGTAGATCACATTTTTATTATGTTTAAAAGCCAGTGCAGCAAATCACACTTGGTGAAACACTTCTGTATACAAGTGAGGCTGGCTAGAATGGAAGAACCGAATCTCTTGCATGATGCAGAAGTAGCTGAGCTAAAGTAGGTGAGCAAAAGTACTTTGTAAGGGGCAATATAGTTTGCAGCAGAGCCTCTAGAGAAGCTCATGCGGTTTTGGTAATATGGCTAAATAATTTTTAATACCAAAGCTATTTTTAAGTATCTGTGTATGGCATTGTCATGAATGCACAACTTTGTGCCAGAAGACTTGTTCTTGTACAAAATCACAGTGGTCATCTTTTGCCTCTGGTGGTGGTGGAAGAATTGTCTGAGAGATTGCCCCCCTAAGAAGGGCACAGCTAGGAGGCCTGCTGATTTCCAATGATCTCAGGTGTCACCTTTTCTATCTGTGCAGGCAGCTCTGTGGGTCTGGTCAGAATTAGTTATGGAATGAATTAGGGACATAACAAGTGATTAGAGACTATCTAGATTGGTTGTGAACAGAGTGAACCTGTGGCTTGATGGACCAAAAAAGGAATTTGCATAGACACAGCCAGTGCTGCTCTGTTCTGAAACGTATACACAGTCAGCAAGTGCCCTCTAATCTCTGCTGTGGAATTTGTTTCCTAGTCTTTCCTAATGTCTCACTGAAAACGTGTTCAGACCTTTAGCAGTATTTACTATGGCACCTGCCATTATCATAATTCATTTCAGAGGATGATGTAACTGATTGATAAGTTTGAATGCTCTAAAGTCCATGTGTTCTTATTCAGTCTTGTAAATAAATTAAAAAAAAAGGGAGGGGGGAGGGGAGAGGGGTGATGTATCTACACACCTTGTCCTGGTCTTTGCAGTAATTCAGAGACATATGCTGTCTGATATTCGTGCTTGCTTTTTTCTGTTCTCATACAGCTCTGTGTCTCGTGTTGCTCTTCGTTTCAAAACTTCCTTGCAAAAATAACCTTTAGCTTCTCAGTTTGTGGGCCGTTACCCTTTCCATTTTACCTTCTGTGACTGCACACTGTTGTGCTGCTTCAGCCTGGGATAAAAGCAGGCCTCCTGTGAATCCAGTGACCAGAATCTTTCTCAAAATTCAATTCTAACAAGCTGCTGTTTGCTTATTCCTTCTCTGTTCACTTAGATAAACATCTGCAGTAACTAAAAAAAGGCTAAATGCTGTCATTTTGAGCACTTTTATTTTAGCACTACCTTGAGTGGGTTTTTTTGTTTCGTTTTTTTAAATGATGGGTGCGTTCTAAACTCTGGAGGGGTATGCAAGAAAGTTCCACCAGCCTTTTGTCCTGTAGCCTTATGATGTTATTCAAACTCAGCAACAACATTTCAGTGTTGTCTGGTCTCAGTAAGGTTTTCGTGCATCCTTGTTGCTCAGTGTATGTTAGGGTGCTCTAACTTTGGTTTCTGTAGTAAGTAGGCTCAGTTGTCTTTTGTTTTGCGCAAGGAAATACATTTTCCTTTGAATGCAAAAAAAATGAGTAACAAAACCCACTGAAGATCCTTAACAATATGATGTGAAAAAGCTGCTGTTTCACTAATGAAAAAGAGCATTAATGTTTAACTTCAGCTCCATCAAAAACTGGGCCACTAGATGCAAGTTACTGTAGGCTGGTGGCTTGGGGCCATGTAAACCAGAGGCAAATGGCTGATACAGCAGCAAGATGTTAATGTAACTGCTCCTTCTCTCCTATTAGAGTATTTCAGAGCAGCTGAAATGAAACTGCTGAGGGTCAATTCAGATTGCACAAGGGATTTGAACTGATGCTTCCTGACTGTAAAATTGAGCCTTGATGCATATGGAGCTTCACACTCACCATCTCTTTAACACAGAACCTGCTAAGAATAAATCACTAGAGCAGCAGACCAAACTTACTTTCTAAAGAAGAGTTTGGTTTTGTTCTACAATCAGATATGTTTGTTTCTTTGCGTGTATGCTGCAAATTGACTTACCTTGCATTTCTTGTTTTGGAAGCAGATAGTTTTCTGTGCTAATGCTCCTTAGGATTTTGGCACTTCTGTGAAGCAGCAGTGTGACGTTGCAATTTAAAGTCTGTCTATATGAAATTTCCTCATTTTACAGGTTCTCTTACTGCTTCCTGCTGATGCTGATGGTTTTAAAAACATTTTTTTTTGCTTTTATGAAGCGAGCAGTAACAGCTCAGAAGCTGATCTAGTTTTGTAGTTGAATAGTGCAGTTATTTTTTACATGCAGTGCTTCTACACTGTCTAGCTAGACTGCGTGTGCTGGTGTACCATTGGCTTGGGAATGGCTGGGTTATGAAGAGAAGCTGGTCTTTCTGTGCTGACCAAGGCAAGGACTGTAATATAAATAATATTAATATAAATAGGATGTATCTTGGTAGGCACATCTCTCATTCTGATCTTATCTTATCTCCCAAACTGAACTGTGCTCAACTAGCAGATGTCTGGAAGCTCACAAGATGCTGGCTCGGCTTCCTTGTTTCTCTCTGCCCACTGAAGGAGAGCAGTGAATTTCAACAAAGCCAAACAAAAAGCCACACAAAATTTATAAACTGCTCATGGTTCAGAAGAATCAAATGAAAGAAGATGACGTATTGTTTTTAGCAGTACATGAGTTAGTTTCTCCAGTGGGAGCCAGCAGTGAGTTAAAATAACTTTCCTTACTTTGTCTGGCTGGATCGCTGGTTTGTTGCCCTAAGTTGTTGTGATGAAAAAATGTGGATGCCTAGAAAATGGGAAGGGGAATTTAGGGGACATGGGTGGTTTTTTACATCTGTCACATGGTATTTAAGAATCACTGCCTCTTTCTTTGGAAGCTCCTACTCTGCTGTCTAAAGTGTGAATTAGAATACTTGTAAGGAGCAATTGCTCTGTTCTCATCCTGTTTAGGTGCTGTTCAAGTGCACCTAAGTTAAGTTAAGAACAAGTGGTGGTTGGAAACTGGTGTAATAAACTGTTTCTGAAGCCATCAGACATCACTTGCAGGCTACGCAAGCCAGCTCTTGAGCCCTGCAACGTTATTTTGGTCATTGATGAAAATGATCCATCCATATAATCTCTATACCCACAGTATTTCTTCCCTCTATACCCCCCCTACCCTTAAAGCAAAGCAATATCTGTGTAAGAACGTGGTTATATATGTGTGTGAGATGGTAGCAGTATAACTGTTGTCCTCTTAAATGTTAAACATGAAACCTGTTGCTTTTACAAGGAAGTTAAAAGGAGTTTCAAGAGCTGGAGCTGCTGTACAGTTGAAAACTCATCTTTCCAAAAGTTGCGTGTGAAATTTCCTGCTTGCACCCTTTCAAGTGCAGTAGCTGGATGGAGGAGAGGAGGAGTCAGGTTTTCTCTAATGTTAAAAAATATGCAAAGTGTAGAAGAGTGAGATGCACTTCCAGGTATGCTAGTTATGTATTTTTGAGTTTCTTCATTTAGTCACATATGGATTACATTAGAACACAGGACTAAGGCGATGTGATTAACTGAAGCTGCATATTGACAGTGTTCCCCTTACTTTTGAGTGGTACCTCTGGGCCTCATCTTAAACTGCCTAGAATTAGTTCTCAAATCCCCCAGTTAGTTCAAGATAATTTTTTTTTTTAAATAAAAGAACAATGAATATGTTTAAAACCATTATCAGTTACCCAGGTGTCACCTGCTGCATTTTTCTCCTCTGGAAACCAAATACAGGCTTCTCACATGGTAACATTGGTGGTGCCTGCGAGGACAGAATGAATATTCCACGCTTCTACATTCATGTTTTTTTCTGTAACGTTTTTCCTTTGAATAAAATAAAAATTGTCTGCAGGTCATTTGGCCACGCAGAACGTATTTTGTAGACTGAGATCTGCTGAACAGTGAGCAAGCTTCTAGTTTGATATTTACTGGTTTACCAAGTGCGTTGAGGCTTACACTTTGTTAAGCTAAGTGGATGGGGTTCATGCAGCTGACTTGCATCAGGCAGACTGACTGTCCTGAGGTGTGCTGGCTAAAAATCCAGCTGAAATTAAAAACCTTGCTCTGGGGAACAAACTACCACCAAAACCAGCAAAATCTTTCGTAGCATTCTGATGACTTGAATTTGCTGTTAGGTGCCTGGCCAGCAGGATAGTGAATGCACTTATAAATATATGCATACTTTTTTTAAGAAGGAAGGGACATTCATTTGCAAGTTCCAGTCTCTCCAGATGGTAAGAGCATTCCTGCTGTTGATATAGCCCTCTTTTTTTCAACAGGTATGGCAATTCAGCGATCAGAATTACATTCTTGATCAAACTCCTACCATTATCTTGCCACCAAGCAATCAGACTATGCCAGCTTTGTGACTCAAACCAGTAAGATTTCTTCCTGCACCTTCCCGTCTTCCTCCCAACTTGCAGTCTGGATAAGGAGCATCAAAAAAGGATGCCGAATTTGGCAGTTACAGTAATAGCGTGACTCAAAACCTTGAGAGAGAGGGGCAAAAACAAACAAAAAAGCCAAGAGAGGAGGTCCAACTGCATTGATGCATATCCTCTGTCAATTGTGTTGTCTGCTTAAGTAGAAGATGATCCACAGGTTTATCTCTGGAGTGAGCAGGTCTTTCCTCTGTTGTCAGATTGGCGTGGTTTGACTACACTCTTCCCTGAACAAATACTGAATTCAGTGTCTTTCCCCACAACTCGCTCCCCTGCCCCACTGCCAAAGCTGCTTTTCCCACTCTGTGCTTGGCTTGTTGAACTCCAGCAGCTCTGTTCATCGATGTGATTCTGTAATTTAACCAATCTCATTTAAGCAGGTCTTTCAGCCCTGTTATTTATTCTGTTTTGTGGATGCCTTTGCGCTAGCTCGGTCCATCTTTCTCACTCTGAAGGGGTTTTGGTGAAAATTCTGACACTGCTAGAAGCCATCACTGATCATTGCTGGCATTGTTTGTGTCGTGCTCTTCAGTGTTAGCTAATGAAGCTTTGCTCTCTGCTTACAGGCCAAGGAGTGTGGTCAGATGCAGAACAAATGGCTCATGATAAACATTCAGAACGTGCAAGATTTTGCGTGCCAGTGTCTGAACCGCGACGTGTGGAGCAATGAGGCTGTGAAGAACATCATCAGGGAGCACTTCATTTTTTGGCAGGTAGAATCACAGAATTCTGCGGGTGGGAAATTTAACAGAGCCACACCAGTAACTTGATGTCCTGTTAGGAGGGACAGTGAAAGCAGTTGTCTTTGATTACAACAGCGCTGCTGTGGTTCTCTTGGAGAATTGCAGAGGTTAAGGGTGTGCATTTTAATGCCTAAGCAGCCTTTTACTTCTGATTGAAAATGTTACTGCTGAACCACTAATACATACACTGGTAGGGGTGCATGTTCAATTGTAGAAGTTGCTGAGACTTGTGTTTGCTATTTGTTGCATGCACTGTACAATAGAGAAAAACTCGGTATGTTTTCACGATCGTTCGTGTTCCCTTTCCACTCAGTAACTTGCTTTCAACGTGGTATTTTGTAGGTCTATCACGACAGTGAGGAGGGGCAGAGGTACATACAGTTTTATAAATTAGCAGACTTCCCTTATGTCTCCATCCTGGATCCCAGGACAGGTAAGATAAGAGACAGTTACTTGGAGTGGCAGCTGTGAGCTGGAGTGCTGTCATCCTTGGCACAGTGTTACACTGCAACTGAAGCTTCTTCGTTACCACATTACCCTGTGAGACTTCTCATCCCTGTAGAAATGAAATAGTAACTTCTGGAGGCACTGAAGGAGCAAAATTCCCAGGCCTTTCTGAAATGCTGTGTTGGATGATGGTACTTGCTATGGCTTATCGAGCACTTTGTGTAGAAATTGAAAATAGTACCACCTGGTGGTGGAACTCCAAAATCAACATTTTTTTGTAGGTGGTCTTTTAAAAGCTACTTGAAATCTTGTGATGAATTTGTCAGGTCACTTACCCATGACATGAATACAAATCTGCAATCCCATTCCTGTCACAGTAGCTTAATGAGGCTTAGCGATGACTTATTAAATTGCCTCTGAATTTTCAAATACCAATTTGATTGTTCAGTTAAAAAATAAATAAATGTTACCTTTTTCTCCATTGCTTTTGAAGTTGGACCTTTTTGTTTTGTATGCCAACACTTTACCTTTTCTGTCACGATAGAAGGCTGCTGTATTAATGGTTTCGTCTCATGCTTCTCAGGAATTGAAGTAATAGTTTCTTTAATCAGAGCTGAAATTTCTCACCATTTGATTTAACCATCTCAAAACATTTTTTGCTGTTGTTGAAACTGAAGTTAAGAAACTCTTCTTAGCACTAATGGAAGCAGATGCTGTTTACCAAGAGGCAGAATCGAAGCAGAAAGAATGTATAACTTCATAAAATTAGTGTTCTGTGTTTTTTAATTTTAATATCCAATTCACCTTTCTGGATGCATATTTTCTCAGAAAAGAACAAAAAATAAGGCTTTTCAAGGGGGTAGAGGGAGGAAGCTTTGTAATGATCAGGTGGTGGCCTGTGGGCAGCTGCAGTTCCACAGATGTGGATTCCTGCATAGTACGTGCACAGGAGTGAACTGATGCTTTTGACAGCTATGCTGCAATCTTTGAGGAGTTGTTGCTGAAAATGGACTTCACAGTGCTGTATGTTTCCCAGGCCAGAAACTAGTGGAGTGGCACCAACTGGACGTGACCTCTTTCTTGGACCAAGTGACCGGGTTCCTGAGTGAGCATGGGCAGCTGGATGGGCATTCTACCAACCCTCCCCAAAAATGCTCCCGTTCGGTGAGTGGGACGCCCTCTAGGAGGACTGCAGAAACCTGAGATGAAATGTGCTGTGTCTCTATGCAGCTGCACTGGTTTCCAGTTCAGTAGTGTATAAACAGACTTAATGAATTAGTGGAAGAGTGTGCAAAATATGAAAGTAATGCACTAAGGGAGTGCTTTCTACCTCGACAGCTGTTTTTGTTAAGCAGTTTACACTTAGATCATTTCTTTTGTTACATTTGTTTGACTGTTTGTTAACAGTCACAGGGTTGTGTGGGAAGAAGACATATTACTCCATGTGAAGCTCCAAGGAGGAATCATTAAGCAGTTACAGGATGACTGGCTTTCCATGCTGTTTGTTCATGACTGTTTTAGTAGCTTCCCTTTGGAATGTTTGATATCGTCTGGATTTTCAGTATGTCTGAAAATATCCTTATGCCTTTTTCCTCTGTCTGCTCAACAGGAGAGCCTCATTGATGCCAGTGAGGACAGCCAGCTGGAAGCTGCTATCAGAGCTTCGTTACAGGAAACACATTTTGATTCCTCACAGGCCAAGCAGGAGAGTCGATCAGACGAGGAATCTGAGTCAGAGCTTTTTTCTGGAAGTGAAGAGTTCATTTCTGTTTGCGGATCTGAGGAGGAGGAGGAATCGGAGAATCCTGCCAAGTTGAGGAAGTCTCCACACAAAGACTTGGGGTACAAAAAAGAGGAAAGCCGGAGGCCTCAGCCTGAGCCCCCTGCAAGGACTGAGCCTGGGACAACATCAAATCATAGGGTACTGCCCTGTATTGATGCAGGGGTCGTGGAGGAGCCAGCTGACAAACCTGAAAGTATGTTGCAGGGCCTAGATGTGAATGGTGAGTGGCCACAGATTGGTTTTATTTTTTTTTTATAGTGACCTGTGTTTTGCTTTTTGTTCTGAAAACTGTTAAACCCTGACAAGCATATTTTCAGCCTTTGTTTTGAAAAGCTAAACCTTTCCTGCTGTCTCACTCCCTCGTTGATGCTAGGTGATTTACTTTGTCAACACTTTGATGTAGTGGTTTCATATTAGTCACTCACATTCCTTAGTTTTGTGACCTTGTTGAATGAAATTAGCATGGGTGTAGTGCAGGCAGCTGACAGGCTTCTACCAGTGTGGTAGAAGTGAAATGATGTTAGCTTTACCTCGTGCCTGGCTTGACTGCCTTGAGGGGCTGGACTTTTGCTTATACAAACAAATCCCAGGAGCCTGTGTGCCTCCTTGCAGCTGTGAGCTGGCATGCAGCCCTGTGGAATGCTCTCAAAAGCAGAGGTAGCACAGTGTACTTTCCTCTAGGAACCCAGGCTGATTTTGGTCACTATTGTGAACTCTTGTGTTTATTTTGAACACGTGCTGTACAAGTATCTCTTCAGAGACTGAAACACTGTGTGCTAAAAAGTTCTGTGCTTGTCTCCAGTCCCTAACCCTACTGTTCTGTGCAGTAAAATGTGCCACGACCAAAACTACAGAAAGCTCAGTTCAGCTGCCTTGTTTGTTAACTTATAGTAACTTCCTTTTGTACTAGGACCAAAGGCACAGCTGATGCTAAGGTATCCAGATGGAAAGAGAGAACAAATTTCACTGCCTGAACAAGCTAAACTTCTGGTGAGTGGGGTTAATGGGAGTTCCTTGTTTGAGTACAGGGGAGCTGAAAATGGAGAATTTATTTTCCTATGGTGGCACCAATGACATTGGTGAGAGAAGTGCTTATATCCCTCGAAGAAAATGAGATTATAGACCCTGGTCTGCAAAACTCCAGGTAGAAACTGACCTCGTTTCAAACTCATGTTTTTCATCCTTGCTATTTTACATGAAAACTTTAAATAGGAAACAAAAGCATCCAAAAATCCAGCATCAGCTCTCTCAAAACCAAGCGTCATTTCAGAGGTCGACGTGGAGTTCTGAGGCTGAAATAAATTCTGAGGGACACTTGCTGTAGGAAACTGCTTTGCTTTGCCAGGTTTTCATTCTTACTTTGTCATAGCAGTCATCTCTATAATATTTCTCAAGTAATCTTAACTCAGGTGGAGCCACGTCCTTCCAGTCCATCACCTGTGCACTTGCATCACCCCTCAGGTGCTCCCCCTGCACCGATGCCCCAAGACGTAGGAGCAGTGCTATGACTGTTCATTCTGCCTGAGTTTTGCTCTCTCACTGTACTCCCTGTCATTCCTCAGCTTGTCTTCATTTCTCTGTCCTGTCTGCCCCTACTTTACCCTCTCATCTGCTGTGTTTGTTGATGAACGTGGGAAATCTCTCTTGTGTAGCATGGGCATCAGCTCTTCTGATGTGTCTGTTTGTTGGATTTGCTGATCTCCCAGTACCCTCTGTATCCTTCCTTGATTGCTACTGTAGGCAGAGAAGTCAATGAGCTGAGAATTGCTTTTGAAAGAAAGGAAGAGAAGGATCCCCCCAGACCTCATGCTTCTTTGAAGGCAGGAGAATATTCAAACCCTCAGAAAAAATGCTGTATTTATCAGTGTCACCCAACAAAAATACTTCTTTGCTGCCTTTTAGGTTTAACATAAAGGTAATGTCAGCAAACAAGTGAGGGGGCTTTTATTTTGGGGCACTGAACAGATTGTTTTGCAACTTTTGTTTTGCTGTGACTTGAACGTGTGATGTGGAATTCAGATCACTTAAATTAGTGTACTGTTATGTATATCTTCCTTCTGTTTCAATAATCCGTTGGATAATTAGCTTCTATGTTTTATGGCATACAAGGACCAAATTATGTGAAGAAGTTGAGATCCATATTACATGCAGATTTCCCTTCTCTGTCATAACGAACTTCTCTTGTAAGAGGGATAATTTTGTGACACTTTCTGTGGGTTGTTGTTTGTTTGTTTTAATTGAATGACCCTTTTTTGCCTTCCTTCCTCTCTAGGCTCTTGTGAAACATGTCCAGTCAAAAGGGTACCCCAACGAACGCTTTGAACTCCTCACCAACTTCCCTCGAAGGAAACTCTCTCACCTGGACTATGAGATCACATTACAGGAGGCAGGCCTGTGTCCTCAAGAGACTGTCTTTGTGCAGGAAAGGAATTAGCACCGTGGCCTGAGTTCTCCCAGCCTTCCTCCCCTCTCCTCTTTGCCTAGGACACCAACTCGATATGCAGTTGAGGGTCATAGGATTGCAGTGCTAAAATCAGGCAGGCAGCTCTCTGGCCCTTCTCTCTCTTCTTCCCTTCTGCTCTAGCGACAGTTGAGCGTGTTCAGAGTTCTGGTTTTGTTCTCAGCTTGAGCCCTTGGGAAGAACATCTTTCCTTTGTTTTCATGGAGTGAAGTAGAACAGTGACCTATGAATGCAGTGTGCTGGGACTTGGAGTGGCCATAGTAGACGCACCCTGCTCGCTGCTGTTCTTTAATCAGTTTCATTTAATTTGTATTTGAAAACACTGTTTGATAAGGCACTGAGTCACCTCTGTAAAGAGAGAGTGTAATCTTTATTACAGTCTTTCGTTTGCTTTGATTCTCCATGTGAAGGTTCTCCATTAACCTTACAGCATTCTTGAGATCATTCACTTAACCTTGCAGTCTGCTGAAACTTACTTTGGAAAGGAGTTCAGGAGCTGTGGCAAGATTCTCTGCCCCTACCTAATAGGCTTCTAGGCTGCATGCATGCTCTCATCATCCTTTAAATGCTGCCAGTGGATGCAGGTTTCATCGTTTTTTTATGAAAAAAGCAAGGATCCCCCCTCCAAAAAAAAAAAGAAGACTTGAAAAGCTGTGTCTGCTTTTGCTGCAGTATCAACTCCTCCCTACAAGGAGGGGGAAATTCTGTTTTTTCTCCTTTTTACTTGCTTTCAGGATTTTACAGCTGACAATAGAAGGTGGCATGATTCAGTGAAGACCTTGGGAGTGTGGAAAACGTGGAGTAAACTTGACAAGTAGTTGGCTTTTTCCCCCCCCTCCTTCTGTATGTCACTGCTGCACCAGGGCTGACTAATTTGTAAATTGGTTTTAGAGCACAGACTGCAGTTGGGCAGGACAGCAAGTCCTAGGCAGGGTTCCTGTCATTAATTCAAACCATAAATAGCCTTGTCAAAACTGTGGAAGGAATTAGTACTTCATAGAAGACTTTATAGCTGGTGGCAGCTCCAGGCTGCTTTTTATTCTATTGTAACCTTAATCTGCTGTCATTTACCACTGAATCTGGAAGGATGTATTGAAAACTACTCCTTTATTTGTGCTTTCATTTCAGCTATGAAAGCTGGCAGCAGAATTCATGCAGGCACATCCTGTGTGTATGCCAAGTGCCCTGTTTTCCCAGTGTCTCACCTGGACACTGAGCCGTTGGTACAGTATAGGTTACAGGAAACAAAAGTCAGTTAACACTGCCATCTGCATGATGGATGTGCAGTGTGTTTATTTACAGTTAAGCATCCAATTTAATGTTCTTCGTCAGGGAGGAAAAAGGCATACGAGTCCTGTAATTGTTTCTGTAATTATCAGGTGGTTCATACATGTGACTTCAGTGGTCAGAAGTTTTCTATAGCCTGAAACTTCTCAAGATATTTTTGCATTTAATTTCATACCAGCCTTTGGAGTCTTTAAATAGAGAAAGCCATGGACAATGTTTTGCATTCCCCATGGTATAACAATACAGTTGTGTAAATTCATTTTCCTTCTGCATTAACGTCTTTGCATTCTACTGCAAGGTACAGCATTGTGAAAGCAGAATCTGATGGCATTTTCCTGACCAGTGAGTGATGTGACATCAGATGCCATGTTTGGTTTGTAAAGAGCTCCTTTCACAGAGGCTGTTTTGCAGCACTAAAAGGTGAATGATAAGGCCAGCAGAATAGTGAGAGTGTTGGTGTTTGGCCTTTGGGGCAGCAGCAGCAGCATTTCTAGACTGAAAGATATCCATAGAACTTCTAGAATATCCACATTCTTGTCTCACACCTGGGAGTAGAAGATTAGGGCAGAAGGAAACCCTTCTGTGTAAGTATGGTACTTAGGTAATTTCAGCTCTCCAGTTAAATATCCTACTCTGATGTTTATTACCTTGAAACTTGCTGCCTCTTCTTCAGTGATTTGCTGCAAGAAGGTGGGCTGCCAACAGGGAACAGCACCTGACATCAGCGTGATATCCTTTCTTGTCCCTCAGACATGGGAGCATGTTGACTTTTCTTGTTCTCCTGCCACTCCCTGTATACAGCAGCCTTTGCACTTTTGCTCTGTCTCTCAAGCTGTGACTGGCTGGCTGCATCTTGGTACTGGCCAGGGGGGGGTTGCATCTGCTCTGAGCACATTGTTCCACATCAGCTTTCCTAGTAGTGAACTTAAACATAGAAAATTGACCCTGTTGTTTCAGTCTTGTGCCTGTTCCATTGGTAGCTTCTCTTTTGATCCTTCTCCGCAGTTTTACTAATGTACTTAGGCTTCAGCAATTAGATGTAAAAAAAATCAACTAATGGCTGCATCAGGGAAAGAGGGAAAACTGCACTGCAGGCAGGAGCACGAGCTTCATTTCTGATGCTGAAGACCAGCATGGTCCCATATTATGAGCCTTTCTTTCTGACCCCATTTTCCACAACTAGGAGCTGTGGAGCTGGCTTTCTTTAATCTATGCTTAGCTGTAGGATCGTGCTGTCAAATCCAAAACAGGAAGTTCTGGTTTAGCATCTCATTGCTTTTGTTATGCTCAATCATCTCGTGCAGAGGAAGCCAAAAGTTGCACTTGGCTGTGGCAAGGTTTTTTCCTGAGCCATCAAGACTAAAAGTCTTTCGTTTCATTTCTCGTCTTCTTTCTGTCCCTTGGCTTTTTATTAGCAAATAGCAATTCTTTTATAACTGATCAGGAAATTAAGAAATGGGGAGAAAAAACAAAACCATATTAAAAATGGGATTTTTCTTCCCTTTCAGGTAAGGACTCAGAATTATTTTGTGGCAGTTCTTAATGCTTTGTTCTGCTCCAAGAAATAATGAGCTGATCTGTTGTTGAGTTTGTTTGTTTCTCTGGCATGCTGTGGTTTCTTTTGGTTTTCTTTTGCCTTGACCTGTGAGCTGGAGGCAGAGAGAAGAGGTCTTAAAGAGATAAGTGTCCCTGTGCACGCCTCTTCTCTCTTTTCATTCTTCTCCCTTTTTTCCCCCTTATTCCCACCCCAGTAAAAACAGAGCCACAGCTCACATCACCCAGCTGTTCTCTGCTGTGAAAGCTGTGAAGAAAAAGCACCAGCCGGGGTACAGCTCCTCAGATTTTCATTCAGAGCTCTTTGGAGTTTGGAGAAACGTGTTTTGATGGCCTGAGGAATGTGGCTGAACACATTAACCGAGCTAAGCATGCGGCAGCTTGTATCTGGGAAGGTGTAAGCCACCTGGACTCAATTTAGGAAGAGCCTTGGTCATGGTTGCTTCTGAATGTTAAGTTTGAAGCTCAAATTACTTTTGACAAGGCTGGAAAAAACACCTTAAATCCTTAATTGCGGAATAAGTTGAAGTTGGAAGGACAAAGGAAATCATCCCTCAGTGTCTGTGGTTTGTGGTTTCCAGTGTTGTTTGGCCACAGTTTGCATGGCAAAGGACTGCCACGAGCAGAGGAGACAGTGGAAGGCTTTGTTGGTAGGGAGCTAGAGTGCTTCAAGCTGCAGCTTCTTGCTGCTTGCAATGAAACCTTCTTTGCATGTGTTCTTCATCTAGCTTGTTTTTTTGTTTTGATTTTTAATGTCTAACTGGCTTATTTTTGCTGTCACAACCAGCATTCAGAAACAGAGCACAACCAGCTGGACCTCGCTTTCTTTGCCTGTTGCTGTCAGCACACTTTTTTTTTTTTTGGCTTCCCACTCTCAGACCTCCAGAGATCCAGGGAAGGATTTTGGCTCTTCCTAGCAGTACCTGCTCTCAGCCAGGCTGACCAACCGGCTTCAACCCTGTTGCCTCCTCTGCTGGAGGAAATAGGGCATCTGAAGGCTGTGTCACAGGTTGCTGTGTTGTTTTCATTAGGCTTTGAACCGTGGTCTGAGATTCTGCACTTCTGACATTTATGGACTGAATAATGTCATGCTTCCTGGTGAAAAATCTGATAAGCTGACCTTGGTATTGAAAGAATGCATGTGTGTAGCTTGTAAAGCAGAGCTGTCTGCAGAAAGGCAGCAATTTTCAGACGTAGACATAAATGGCGATTTTGATTATGCACCAGCTCACCAAATTAACTACTTAATTAACTGAATCAGTGTCAGTGTACATGCTCCTCTGCACCAAGTCATACCAGCTTCCACATTTCCAGGTGCTGTGGTTTGTAAGCATGCTGCCATCAGAAACTGGCAGCTGGTTTTAGCACTTAATGAGTAAACCTCACTGCTGATGGGTTCTCACATAGACTTAGAAAACATCCATGCAGCTGTGTGCTTTGCTGTTTGACATACCCTCTGACTATTCAAAACTTCTTGCTTGAAGTACATCTGAGTTATGGGTAATGAAATAGAACAGTTAATTCTGAGGATGGGGGCTTTCCTTTCTAGTTCTTTAAAGAAAAAGGCAGCTCCATGCAGGAGTTCTTTGACGACAGCTGCTGCGCTGCAGAGGGCACCATGCATTGCTTGCAGCTCCTGCAGGCAGCAAATTACAGCTGGTTCTGAGAGCAGGCTCCTTGTCTGCTAGCTGGGATGCTCTGTCCTGGCTCACTGAGTTTGTTCTCGCTAAGCTGGACCATTGAGTTGGGTTGCAAGAACTCAAGAGTAACAAGGGCTCCATCCCTTCTTGTGGGGCAGGAAATCACAGTGAAGCATCCCTTCAGCTGCATTTTGACAGGTGCTGAAGGCTGCAGCAAACAGGCAAGATGCATCTGATGTTTTTCCAAACCATGTGAGCCTCTGTTAGCTGGCTTCATGTGGGGAAGTCCCTGTGAGTGGGAGAATATGTGTCATTTAAGGAACTTGAAGTAACAACTCGTTACAGCTTTTTTTCTTGTCGCAGCTTTGTCCTTGTTTAATCCCTTTTTAATCAAGCTAGTAGTAAAGAATGGCTCTTTATGCCAAAGAGAGGAGAGGTAGCTGAAGTGGAGGTGGAGAGCAAAGTCCGTTGTGAAGATTGGGTGTGCCTTGTCCAGCTGTTTTTCAGCAGAAATGATTTTCTGTAGGTGTCATAGCTTTTGTCTTAAAGGCAACACAAAGCTCCCATCTGAGCCCTGCGTTGGCCATCTCTGTTGTTGGAAATTCCTTCAGCTGCGTTTGGAGTCAGCCAAACATTTCAGTGATGACTGTTAAGGTCTGCTGTAAGGTGACTGTAAGGTGAACTGTAGCCTGTGAGGACAGCTTTGCAGGGGCTGTCTCTGAAAGCGGGATCTCACTGCTGCCTGCTCCCAAGCCTGAAGGTTAATGGACTCCCTTTCTGTGGTGTGCTGCAAGATGACTTTTAATCTTGTCTCCTCTTGCCCATGAGGTGCTTAGTGTCTGTCCACTTCCCTAAATAGAGCCATATGTATATATGTGTACACACACACACATTTGTAATTGGAGGACGTGGCACTTAACATCAGTGCCTTGGCTTTCCTCAGTTCTGTCTCCTGTTTGCTGCCGCTATATTGTGAGTAGTCACAGAAGTTTGGGATTTGGTCACTAATTACTGCGTCTGCAGTACAAGGAAGAGCAATTCTGTATCTGCCTGTGAAAGGGTGCTGGGATTTGATGGGATAGGATAGTTGGGGAAGGCCGTGGAGCAGGGGGACGAGGTGCTATTTGATACAGCAGCTCTGTGTGAAACAAATCTGCAGAGCATGCCTCGGAGCCGTGGTGTCTGACCAGAGACACCGGGCTGTACAGCAGATGACTTTCTTAGTGAGGCTGAGTCCTCTCATGGGTGAACTTAGAGTTTCCAAATTTGGGCTTCGCCTGCCGGTTTTTACACTAGTCACTTTTTCCTTCAATGATGCAACTTCATGCTGGAGGAGGGAGAGAACTAATTTGGGTGATTTCAGCTCACTGTGCTGGGAGGGACCAAACTCAAGGAAACCTCTGATCTATATACACAACTGCTGCATTTTTTATAAATATATGTAAATGTCCTATTGTAATATTTGATCCTGGAAATAAAACAAACTGTTTTCACTAGCTTTCTTCATTTCCTGAGATTTTGTTCTGTTTGATTTCGAACTAGAGTCTGTCCCTGCGTTATATTGAGAGGTTTTGACTTTTTCCTTTGTGGGGTAGAAGGAAAGGAAGAGAAGGACTTCTCTGTTTCTATGTATGTGACTGTTTAACCCGTTCATACTCCCCAAAAGGCTTTGGAATAGGGTAACTGTCAGTGCCATGCTGAAGCCTTAAACCAGTGTTCCCTGTCACTCGTTTCCAGCATGCACTCGAGAGAAGTGTGAATGTGTTTGGCTTGGCGTGTCCAAACCCAAAGCTTTGTCAGGAGTGAGGATGCTCTTTGGGAAGATACCAGCATGTGAAGGATGTGCTAGCCAGCTCTCCAGGGCAGTGTTGCAAGAGATTTAGTCTTCTGTTTTCAGCACGTGCTCCCCTCCATGCTGTGGTAAAGAAGGAGCCAAGTCTGTGAGGGAGGCTTGCTTGTGCACTCCTACTGAGCTCTTCAATCCAGCTTAAGAAAACCTTTCCCATTCTGACCAAGTTGAAAATAGGATGTTGTCACAGGCAGGGAGCTGTGGGGTAGATCCAGAGGGTGTATGTCACTTTTTTTTTCATGTGCTTTTTCTTTCAGCAGATCCAACTCTCAGCCTTCTGACTTTTAGTGGGATTGGTTTATCTCATCTGGAGCAGTAATTTCATGAAATACCTGAGCAAGTTAAAGCAAATGTCGTATTGTCCAGGTGCAGCATGTTGCTGTTTCTTCAGTCTGGGTTCTAACCCCAAACTCAGCACGGGTCAAAGGAGGTCACCTTGGCAGTGAACGTGCCCACCTGTAGGTCAGTTTTAGTGGTGGAAACCGAATTATGGATGCTACCAGGAGGAGCGGGAGAGACACCGAGTTGTGCTGAGCACAGCTGGACATGAATGTGGTGGCCGAAACCTGGGCTGCAGAGAGCGTCAAGTGTGGTGGGATAAAACAACCTGAACAGCTCAGATAAGTGTTGGTCAGCATCCCTACGGCTGTGTCCTGCTGTCAGGGGAGGAGTTGGCTTGGGGATCTCACTGGGGCAGTATGGCTATTCATGGAGCTGCACTTGGCAGCAGCTTGGCTGGGTGACTTGGCAGAAAGTTATCTGACTAATTGCTGCACTTACACTTTCATAATCGTGTTCTTAAGCCAAGCAGGGAGTCATGGTGCTCGTGAGCTGCTCCATTCTGTGCTAAAATTAGCTCTTTTTTAAATTATTATTAGAGAACTGAGCTGGGGTGGCTGTAAGGATCAGCATTGTTGGGATACAGATCCGGCTGACGTCTCATGGGGAGCGGCTGTGAGGTGTGATTGACTGTTGTGTGTGGGAAGCTTGTTGCTGTGACGTACAGGACATGAGATAAAATTGCAACACGTTTTCTTCCTGTAAAGTGGAAAATGCTTCCCCTCAACATAAAAAGTAGAGAAAGGAGAAATGGAATTACTCCCTGCTGTCAGGTATCCTACGTGAGAATGCTTGCTCCTTGCTGCCGTGTGGAGCCTGAGGGCCACAGCTCCTTTTTCTGTTTCTCTGGTGGCACAGTGTGCTTCAGGCAGGTTTTATAGTCTCAGTGTCCCTGTCCAGGTTGGTCTGAAAGCAGAAAAAGCCGTTTTGAACCAAGTTGGGCAATACCACTTGCACACATTACTCTAGGTAGAACAAGTTGGGCTGTATACCATGTATAATATCTTGGAGTGGCACGGTACCTGTGGCACTTCCAAATGTTCTATCCAGAAATAACCTCTGCATTAATGGCAGCAGCCAGCTGAGGTCTTGGGAGTGATCTTCTGCTCTGAAACACTGTGTGAGATACAGCCGCATCTGCTGCAGCCTCTGACACGCTGCCTCAGTGTGATGAGTCAGCACCATCTTGCTTAAAAATGAATCCCCGCGTGCAGCAAGGCACCATTGCATTGTGCATCCACCATATCCACGTGGTATGGGCTGAGGTGAGCAGCCAGGCCCTGCGGGAGCACACTGCAGCTGAGCAATGCATTGCTGCCACTCCTCTACCAGCTAGAGGACCTACGCAGGATTCCTCTCCGTGCTGGACTTGTGGCAGCAAGAATTGATGTCTTTTCTCGCAGTTTGCATGGCTGGTGGGTCTCCCCCTGCCCAGGGAGCTGTATAGCTCCTGTTTGCATTTGCTTTCTGGATCTGCTTCCCTTGAGACAGTTTCGTTGTGAAGGAAATGGTGGTGCTGCTGGTGGGGGCTGCCCCGTGCGGAGGGACAGTCATCCTTCCTCATGAGCTGCTGGTTTTGTGGATGATGGTGACATGACTGATGCAGTGGGTGGATGTCTGGGATGGGCATCATAAATAGGACCCGTGGGAGATGCCTCTCAGTGTTCTTCCAGGACAGAGCTACTCCGGGGAAGGGTGAGAAGCTCTGGTTTCACGCAGCCAATATCTCCCACATTTGCTCCCAGGTAAGCCTGGAGGAAGGAGGATGGTTTCTCCAGATGCTGCTTGAATCCTTTTTGCTTTAGGCCACGGACTGATTTCATTTCTGTCATTTCTGTGCTGAGCGAGGGAGGAGATTCCCCCAGGGAGAGGGAGAAGTCCCTGCTGAGGCCAAAGGGGGACCTGCAGCAGGCCTGAGGTTGGAGCAGCCCCCTGGGTGAGCTCCAGGGAAGGAGGAGCTCTTCTGGAAGGTCTACAGAGGGGCGAAGGACTCAGTGCTGGGTCCTCCTGACTCTAGGTGAACAACAGGAAGGATGAGAGGTCTTGGGTTTGTTACAAAAGTGGGAATGATGGAAATCAGAAAGGAGATAGAGCTGCCTCGGATGGATGGGTGGCAGAGCTGGCAGTCTGCCTTGGAGCTCCCAGCTAACAGCAGCGGTGCCCTGACATTGGGTTGGCAACCCCAATTCCTCCACAGGAGCAGGGCTGTGATGCAGCTCTTCCCATGGAAACAACCACGCAGCACCCCATGGGTTCTGCTTCTGCAAAGCCAGAGCCGCCGCCTCCTCTTTTCCATGCAGGTTGGTAATGTGTGTAGGGAGATGCAGCCGCATCGTGGGCCCCTGCTTGCTGGTGCTGGGCATGCTCTCCGTGGTGGCCAGCATCCTGCTGCTCTTCCCTGGCGGGTCCTGGCAGTACCTGGTGGATGGGCACATCAGCAGGAGGGCAAAGATCATGCCAGGCACCTGGGGAGGCGGCGTCATGGTAAGCGCTGTATCTTGCATGGCCTCCTCCAACATGCACAGAGCAAGGACAAAGAGCAGGATTGGGCGTCCTGCTTTTGTTCCCCTTTGTCCCCACAGGCCACTTTCTCCTTCCTGCAGGTGCTGCTGGCAGCTATCCACATCACTGCTGTGGGATGGCGATGCGCCTGCTGCTCCGACTGCGGCACCCGTCGGAACGTAAGTCAGGGTGGAGGTTGTACCAAACAGTGTGGGGTGGGACATGGTGACGTGTCCCCTCTCCTGTTGGTGTGTGGTGGGGCATTGTAGGGTGCCTCCTCTCCCTTGGTGGGAGGTTATATGGTGCCACCTCAGTTGTGGCCCCGTGGCAGGACATCGCACAGTGTCCCCTCTCCCGTGGCCATGTGGTGGGATACGGCACAGTAACCTCATGGTGGGATGTCTGTGGAAGGCCACCTCTCGTGGGCACGTGGTGAGACATCCGTGGTGTCACTACTCACGTGGTGGGACAATGCACGGTGCCACCTATCCTCTGGCTCCACGGTGGAGCACTGCACGATGTTCCCTCAACCCTGGCCCTGCAGCGAGATGCTGTGCGATGCCCAGCCCCCTGAATGAAGGTCAGGGCAGAGCACGGGCTCCTCCTGCCTGCCCACTTCTGCCCATCTCTAAACCTCATGCTCCCTGTAGGCCTTCCTCTCTGTTGTCCTCTCCAAGCTGGCTCTCCTGGGCTCTGCCGCCTGCTTCTTCTTCTCGGGGCTGGGTCTGACTGACGGCCCTCTCTGCCTCTACAACACCACTGAGCTCAGCAATGGCCTTATCTGGGACTACCCCTTCGTGGACACCCCTAGCAACAGGTACAGGGCCCTCATGCTGTTGGCAGGAAAGTAGGACCACAGAGGGGAAGGCTGCATGTGGCTCATGCTGTCCCTCATGCGGTACAGGGCCTTGGAGAATTTCTACCTGTTCTACCCGAGCACCTGGGGCACCTGCCTGGAGCCGGTGGGCATCGTGGCATGGCACGTCACCTTCTTCTCCCTCCTGCTGCTCATCAGTGCTGCCGAGATGGTGCTAACCTTCCTCCAGATCATCAACGGCTGCGCCGGGTGCCTCTGCGGCTTCTGTGAGAGGAAGGAGGCAGGGCTCTCCCATGTGCCTGGGGTGAGGTGAGACCATGTTTCCCAGCTGTGGCCTCTGGGGAGACCACTCCTGCTCACCCCATGTCTTCCATTCCGCGACACACCTGAGCCACGTATGTAAATAAAAGCCTGATTTATTTTTGTTAATCTGTTTTGCGGTGGTGGTGCCTCCTGTGGGGGGCAGCTCAGCCTCCCAGCTTGGTCGGGGCTGGGGCTGTGCATGGAGGCGGTGCTGGAAATGGGGTGCAGGTCCCTCAGAATTCACACTCATGCGTATACATCCACGCACACAGCCAGCGTCAGGCTGGTGCCACTCAATGTGTATTTCATAGGGTCGTTAAGGTTGGAAAAGACCTCCAAACACAACCCATCCCACCGTTCCCACTGGCTGTGCCCCTCAGGACGACATCTGGATGGTTCTTGGTTCCACAGATATTTGGTTGACTGTGTGTGTTTGAGAAAGCAATTAGCTGCTTCTTTAATTCACATGAATATGGCTTTTTGGGTGTTGTGGATCTGGGTGTGAAGCTTACCCACTGGCAGGGTTTTTTGGGGGCTGGTGAGATAGCATCTCCAGCACAGGTGTGAAACTGGAAGCAGCAGGGGAGTGGCATTAGGAATCAGTTATTTATTCAGAAGGATTTTAGATGGAGGAAGGGTGGTAGGACAGAGGGACATTGGCTGAGAACTGGCATGACACGGTCGTATCAGCATGAACTTTTAAGCCCAACCACCATATATTTAAAAATCAGCAATAAAAATGAGATAAAACCCTGTTTTGGGGCAGCAGCCCTCAGCACGGTCCAGCTCCCAGCATCCCAACGTCAGCACTGCTCACAGTGCCACAGGGCTCATGCCAGGCTGTCCCCAGGTGCCACTAGCTCCAGCCAGGCCACCGGTGGCAGCCGGCCCCATCTGTCCATGGCTGTCCCCTGCCAGGGGACGCTGCGGGCGGCTCTAGCAGACACAACAGCTCCTTCGCCTTCGCTTCCTGTGGGGCACTGCAGCCGTCAGGGGGATGTTCTGGAGCACGTCGTGCAGCGTGAACATGCTGAAGGAGATCTGCTCATAGGGCGAGCGCTTCCCATTCTCATAAAGACAGGCAAAAGCAATGGCCGGGCCACCAGAGACGGGAAACTGGCTGTGGGGCAGCTCCATGTAAGCCAGGTCTGAGTAAGCGCTTGGGCCCTCGTAGATGACCCAGGGCTCAGTCCAGCTGTCTGCATCCCTGGGGAAGGTGCTGAGGTGGACCCCCATATTGACCCGCGACATGGAGCTGGTGGGGTGTGAGTAGAGCACCCATGTCGGCGCTTGAAAGAAGGGCCCAGGAGTGCCTTGGGGATCCCCTTGGAATGAGGCGCAGCTGCGAGGTCCTGTTGAAGTCCTGCTGCCAGCAACCATGGCAGGGAGCGCCTGCAGAGCTGAGCGGGGCTGAGGGCCGTACACCAAAGGTGCGGGGAAGCCGATGATGCTGCCGTGGCAGCCGTGTGGGGGCTCTACCAGCCGTGGGACCAGCTGCCCCCCATGGAAAACAGCCCCGTCATCAGTGCTCAGTGCCTGGACACGGAAGCCCAGGGAGCTGCGGGCATTGCAGTAGAGGACGTTGGAGCCATCCTCCTCATCCACCGAGACCAGCTGGCACTCTCCTGTCTGCAGGTTGGGGATGAACTCCCCAAAACGCCATCCCTGGCCGTGGTCGTCACTGTAGAAGGCGAAAGAGTGCGGGGTGGTCTTGCAGAGCTGCCCGAAGCACTCCTTGCAGTCGATGTGGTAGCTGTAGGCGGGCACCAGCAGCCGGCCGGAGCGCAGCTGGATCCCATGCCCTGGGCCCAGCGCAAAGGTGGCCCACTCTGGGGACAGGGGGACAAGCGTTACCAGTGGTCCCCTCCATCACAAGCCGCATTTCTGCCCTCAGACCCTCACTGGACCCCAGCCATGTACCATGGGGCTGCAGGCTGAGGCCTTTACTAGCCACTGCACTGGCCCTCCCACTGCCCTGCATGGCCACACTGCTACCTTTGATGGCCCTGCCGATGACCTGCTGCGTCAGGTCAGTGGCTTTGCTCCAGCTCAGGCCCTGATCGGCGCTGGTGACGCAGCAGAGGCGAGTGACATTCTGCCCAGTGACAATCTGGAAGGCTTCGGGTGTCCTGCCCAGCACCGTGATGAAGAAGAGGAAGAGGGTGCCGGTGAACTCATCATAGAGCGGGCAGGGGTTCATCGAGCGGTGGTGCTGCAGTGCCGCCGTCTCCAGCACCCGCATGTCTTCCCACTGCTTGGAGAGGGAGTAGTGAGCCCCCAGGACCCTTGGGCCATTCTCCCTCCCCGTGGACCCTGTCCCACCTCCACGTAGCTGCCATAGACGGTGCCACGGCGCAGCACCAGCAGGTTGGCGTGGGCATCGTCGGCGCTCAGCCGCTCCTCAGCAAAGGCCAGCAGCTTGGCCACACAGGGCAGGTAGAGCAGGGCTGGCACGCGGTATGTGACACCAGTGGACTCCTTCTCAAAGAGCACAGTCCGGGCAGGGAAGTGCCGGGAGCCCATGGTTCCTGCAGGAAAGAGAGGGCAGCCCCCACCAAGGTGGGGAGTGGGGAGATGCGGTGCTGCCAAAAGAGAAGAGAAGGCTGCTCTCCATGCTGCTGGTTGCAACGGGGTTCTGCAAACCCACGCTGGCCAGGGCTGGAATGGGAAATGGAGGGGGCAGAGCTGTCCCCACGCACGTCCTGTGAGCTGAGTGATGGGATCCCATCAGCTCCTCCCTCTGCTGCGTTCCCACCAAAGGCCCAGGGGTGCTGCCTGCCCTGTGCTGTTGGCTGGGGCACTCACCTGCATTCTGTCTAGCGGCTTTGCCCAGCGCCCTGCAGATAAAGCTCAGGCACTCACCCGATCCTGTGCAGCGCAGCTCTGTCCCCTGCTGCCGGCTGCGTCTCCCCTTTCGTTGTCCCCCACAGATGGGTCACGGGGCCCAGCAAAAAGCCCTGAGTCAGCAGCAGCACAAAGGCACCATTATCAGGCAGCAGAGCCTGGGCCCCTCGCCGTGTGTCTGGGCTCAGGGCTGGGGGGTAGAGGATGCCAAGAGGATGTGCCTCCTGGCTCCATTTCCCTCCTGTCATCCTCCTCCTGGCTCCATTTCCCTCCTGCCACCACTCCTGGGGAGTGGTGTTGGAGCCTCTGGATTCACCATAGCCATGCACTGCCACCCCCTCTGCTGCTTGCTCTGCCCCAGGGAGCTGCTCCAGCCACCAAAATGGCCCATTGTGGCCACCCTCACCACCAGGCAGCTCAATACCTTGAACACCTATGTGAAGCAGTGTGGAACAAATTGCACATTAGCAAGTTGTGCCACAGCTGTCCTAACAACTTCCCACGCACATCCCTTACCGCTGACCTGAATGGAAGGGAGGGCACCCTGGTTAAACCTGAAATCCTGCACCATATGTGGAGGCAGGCAGTGTAGAAGCTGGCAATGGGCTGCAGAAACCAGTGCCAAGCCCAGCTGTGGTGTGATGGCACTGCTCTGCTCCCTGTGAATTGGCCACGTGCAGAAGTCCCAGGAGTTTGATTCATTCTCTCCATCACAGTGGATGTGATGTGGAAGTGCCTCCCTGGACCCTTCTCCTAATTGGTGGTGGAGAGTTTGGCCGTGGGAGCAACAGAACGTGGCAAAGCCTCTGCTGATGCTAAAACACCAATGCTGCCAGCCTGGAACACTCATTCCTCTCCTGTGTTCCTGTGCCTTCCACTGCTGCATTCCCTCTGCGCACTCCTGTCCTCATTCCCTTCACTCCTTTTATTTTGGGTTCCTAAAAGCAGGAAACCAGGACTTGCTCTAGTGAGATTTAACCAGCTGTTAAAGTAATGACCTCTATTAAGAAAGGTCAAATGCAAACCAAACGATTGAGCTCATGATTAATGTTTAAGTGGAAAGAAAGTCTAGCCCAGCCCGAGAGCCTACCAGTGCCCAGCAGCACCAGGCTGTCCCCTGCATGTGACAGCAGCGTCATGGACTCGAGCATTACCCAGCTAAGGCTGTGTCCTTGCCTGGAGGCCTTCTGCTACAGTCTCAGCAAGTCTGGAAGGTCCAGGTACATGGTGGCTGCAACCTCAGTACCAAGAAGAGGCCGTGCCCCTCAGAAGGTCTGGCATCCACATAAAGAAAAAGGTGGTAAATATAAAGAAATAAAAGATTACTTTTTTTTTTTTTTTTTTTTTTTTTTTTTTTTTTTTTCCGACGGAATGAATGACAGACAGAGTGTGGAAGTAGTCCTCAAATGACCCCCAGCCTCCCCATCCTGTGCAAGAGTCTCATTGCCAAACTTGGCCAGTGCAAAAGGCTGCAGCAGTGGGATGCTGTAGCTGCAAAGTAGGGGATTACGTCTTCTGAGAACTTCTCCACTGCTTGGGAAAGTTTATGGGCTTCCCCTGGTTGTGTGGGTACTGGAGGGAGTAGAGGTAGGACATGTACTGGAGCTCTGGTGCAACCATTTTCTGGCAGTTTTTCAGGGTGTCATTGTCTAAGTCTTGCCTGAGGTTATAACCAAGGATATTTGCCATCCCCGACTGGAAAGGCAAGAGAGCCTTGTCCTTGATGTGATCCTTCGCCACAGCCTCCTGGTTCAAGAGGCAGGTCTCCATGAGCTCCTTCTGCCTCATTCGCAGGTCATTTACCTCCTTCTTCAGCTCCTCAAATCCTATGGTCTCCTCAATCCTCCTCCAGAAGCTCTGGTTGAAGTGCAGGTAGAGCTTCCAGTCCAGCGAGCACCACTTTTTTACTCTCTCCTTGCTTTCTGGAGTCAGGGTCTGGACAGTCTCATTGCTCCTGGAATTGAGTTTGAAGTAAATCACATCATCTAAATCCCAGCACAAGGTGTGTTTCAGGAGGATCATGGACTCATCAAAGTAGTCTGCTATCAAGATCAGGTGGAAGTTCTCTTCAGTCTCTTCCAAGATGGACTGAATATACTTTTCGTTGTCCTCTGCATTGTTATCATAGCCAAAGTCAAACCACATGTTATTCTTGGCATAGATGTTACTCATGTAGTCCTCCTTAAGGTAATATTTCAGGGGTGATGCCAGGTATTCATTCACGTCCTTGGATCTCCTGAATGCAGGGGCTACATTCTTGTAGTAGACATAGGAAGATTCCAGCAGAGCAATGGGGTTCCTCAGGATGGAGAAATAGAAGGTGTTCTTTGCCATCACCTTGCGCACCTGTGCGTGAGAGGGGAAGAAGAAGGCTGTTAGGACAGATTAGATTCTCACATGCCCACATTTTGAGCATGTCCAGGTCCACCACTCAGCTCGGTGTCACCAACAAACTTGCTGACCTGTCCATGTCATTGATAACGATGTGGAAGAGCACTGCTGACCCCAGGGACACCACTCATGACCGTCCTCCATCTGGACATAGAGCCATTGACAACAACCCCCTGGCTACCACCATCCCATCAATTCCTAATCCACCAAGTAGTGCAGCTTTCAAATCCATATGCATCTAATTTAGAGGTAAGGATGTGGTGAAAGGCCATGCCAAAGGCCTTGCACAAACCCAGGGAGGTGGCATCCTTCAGTTTCTCCACGTGTGCCAGGGCTCTTACCTCAGAGGGGTTGAAGCGCAGGTGGTTGCACATGATGTTGTAGTTTTGCTTTCGGGTTTGAAAACCCTCCACAAAATTGGTGATGAATCTCTGTGGGTAACCCAGGTGGAACTCCTGGCCAGCAGGGAGGGCAGCTGTGAGTTTGTGCTTCTCAGTGAAGCGGAACAGGATGTTGAGGATGGTGCTGCTGGCAGTCTTGTGGGTCTTGAGGAACATGATGTTGGTCTTGGCTTGGCAGGGCATGGGGGACGCCAGCAGCTCTGCAGAACTCTTCTGGAATCTGCAGGAAGGCAACACATGGGGAAAACAGCCCTTCCAGAGCCATACCCCATCTCTTAAGCTGGCAGCGTCAGCTTAAATCAAGGGAGCTAACTCAAGTGTCACAGGTTAGCTCCTCGCTGCACTGTGTGCATCAAGTCAAGCAAATGGCTGCTCTTGCTGTGATAAGACTTACAGGTGGTTCCTGCTAATTGCATGGAAGAATCCCAAGAGGAAGGCAAGTCCCAGGAACAAGTTGACAAAGAGAAGATTTTTGATAGTCCTGGAAAGAGAGCAGAATTTCAGTGGATGCTATCTAGAAGGCCATCTTGCCCCAAATGTGAACCACCAAACTGCTGCCCGCATGACTTCTGTCACTGGGGCCATGATTTCCACATGCCAGGCACCAGCTGTGCCAGCAGCTCTGGGATATGAGGCAGGACAGAGAGAAATTGCTATTTTATCCTCATTTTGACCTGCACAAACTGCTTTTTGTTTTTGGTTTCTGAGGCCCCAGAGTTTGTCTGCTTTGAGTTTATTCTCTTCAAGTGTCTCTCAGCAGCCACCAGGACATAGAAAAGGAGAACTTTGTAGGAGTTATGGGTGTTTCCTCGATAAGAAATCTGAGTGTGCCATGCAATGACAACACTCCAGAAGATAAGGGTCAGAAAGCAAAACAACTGATTTTTTTTTTTAAAGATGACAGGGACTTTTCAATATGGAAGGCTGATTAATAACACAGCAGTGCCTCTAACACACTAGTTACACCCTGATTCTCAAAACAGATGACTCTCCCAGCCTGGGCTCTCACATTTGGCTTCACCTGCACCTCCCATGTGATGTCATCAGATTTTCTCCCCTTGGCCAGGTTTTAAATTGCCTGAACTCAGAGCTAGAGCTGAGGGTTGGTCACCTCATCCACCAACGCTTTGCCTGGAGAACAAAGAGTCGAGCCTTTCCCAGTACTGATTAGACAACCCCCGTGTATCATCACCAATTCGTTCTAACCAGGACATGAATGGGCTCTTTGGGAGGTTTGATGTCCACCAGACTTGATCTGACTCTTCTGATCTTAAAACCCTTCTTAATGGGGTACGCTTTCAGCCACGGTTTCCAAAATACAGAAGATCTGGCTTTGGGCTTTGGGTTTTGAGACGACACAGTCCTTTTTACAGAGTGGGACCATCATGGTTGTGGTTTCCCCCTGCCCAGCCAGCAGGAAGCCAGCACTCCCCTGCCTCATTTGGGGACATGTAGTGGGTAGGCAAAAGGCAATCCCAACTACTGTGTTTTCCTGGGAATGCTCTCTATCCTGGGAAAGAGCCCTGGTGGCATCCCAATGCCAAACAACCACTGTCACACCAGAAGAAAAGACAAACACTGGAGGGGCAGAAACCAGGCAAGTTTCTCCAAAGTCTTTCCAAACGTTTCCCCTATGCGTTGTGCCCTCTGTCTGTGTCAGTGGTATTTGGAACTTGGTGCAATTACCAGTACAACCCGATGGGTCTGAGTGGAGAACCAAAGAAGCAGACCTGTGAAGAAGGAGCAAAGAATGCCATACACAGAACCACGTTGGCTGAAACCTGTATCCTTGCCAGGCCCAGTACGTTTTCACAACCTCCTGATGGCTCTCATGAGCAAAGGCAACATAGACAGATAAGATAACAGAAAACTGGAGAGAGCGAAGTC